GGGAAGTTTTCAAAAGTTTTATGGTAAACACGTGAAGAACATTTCCAAATTTTAGGCATCAGTGTCAAAAATGATGTGCAATGTAATTCCCTATTTTATATGTTCCTTAGTGTGTTTTATTCACGTGAGCAATTGACTTGCCTGTGCTTGTGTTTGTGATGGAAGCCATTACCTCTTAGCAGGAATTATAGACAGTGCTTTGTCATATTTATTTTTTGACTTGATTGAGTATGGTCACATGATGATTGGACTGATGTTGGGAATCAAACCCGGACCTTCATAGTGACGAGCGAACGCTTTAATCACTGACCTACCACGCCGCCCTGTAACTGTGACATGGCAGTGAATTGTTTCTTCTCATTCACGAGACAAGGCGTCGCTGAAGCCGATGGGGTGGCAGGTGTTTTGGGGTAGCTTCATCTTCGGCTCCTCTTAACTAAAAATCCTGAAGCTCTTCCTGATTTAGCCGCGCCGTGTACCAAACGGGAAGTGATAATATATAACCAAATAATGTTTTCGATTTTGCGAATTGTATTGGTCCCTTTGTCAAGAGACAGGAGGCAAAAGAATAAGGAAACAAATACTCCTGAAAGAAACATTTCAACTCCAACTACTCCAACTATTATCAAATATAGCCAGCATTGTAATGTATTCACTATTGCACTTCTGAAAGACTCATCCGCATGATGAAATTTGGATGCGTCAAATGTAGATATTGATTTTACCTTCACGATGAACAGTTGTACAGGATGTGCACAATGTTAATTATGTCGGAGGTAATGTGTATTTCCATTTAAAACGTACATCGTAATGCATGCACTAACTGCCTATGTGTCTACTGACAACACTTTCTCACATGTTATAATAACACCATCAATGTAACTTCATTGGTTAAATAGTTCAAGTCTGATGACAATGTGGGTGAATTACCATCCATTCATAACGCGACCATCAGCCATGTGATCGTGCAATACATATTACTTGTAAAGTAGCACGCTCGACTGGAAATATATAAAACATAATGTGCCTCTTAAATGTCACCCATATCACAAATTATGTCCATAGTGCACCATGAAGAATCATTCCCCTAAGTGAAACTATGTGTTCTGTAGGAAGACAAACATGCAGCAGGATATTCGGGTGTAGGCTGGTCCCCCCTGATAACCATATTATTCTTGAATCTAGGTGGGGTCCCGATAAGGAAAGATAGTCTCACCTATTCGTAAAACATCTGGTATCATGACTATTTGATAGGGATTCATAAACGCATGCTCACCATATAGTCGGAATCGTAAATCGACTCGGCTTTTGACAGAGACTTCATGTGAATATGAAAAGAGTTTTGCAGCTTTTATATTTTCTTTGTCAATTAAACGTTGTTCAGAGTTTCCAGTTATAGGTGTTACCGCAATTCCCATGGATATTTTTAGTATTTGACACTTTGAACCATAAGATAAAAAGACTCAAACTATAGATCTGTAGAAAAACAATGACTTTTTGTCTTACATGTAGGTTGATACAGGAATATTTGATGGTTGGATATCCCGGTGTAGCCTGGTGATCACGACAAAATTCCCTCCCTGAACCCCGGTGGGGCAGGATACGCCCATCTTTGCGCGAACACCTGGTATCATGACTATTTGATAGTGATTCATGAACTCATGCTCAGGATATAGTCGGAATCGTATAATGGACAAAAATCTTTTTGACGGATACTTCATATGAATTGGAAAGGATTTCGCCGCTTTTTTTGTATTCTTTGTAAAAATACAGTTGTCCAGATTTTTTAGTTTAGTTTTGGGTGTCATCACACTTTCTATGTACACTCTTCAAAAAAAGAAACGCACAGGTAGTATGTAGTTCATTAAACCTGACTACACAAAAAATCCGGTATTTAAAGTGGATATGTTTTATTGGAAAATGTTGGTGGCCTGATATTCGACAAACGATGCATCAAAACGCAGCCATTGTCGATTTGCAATGTCTTAAACGGCACTGTTTTCACTTGTTGAAAAATGTCATGGAGGAAAACAGTAAAGCAAAATGCACTCGCAAGTTATGGCATTCGTAACTCGTGGCTATAAAAAGGAAAGCATAAGCCAATAATTTGTCATTCAATTGTCAACATTTCTCAAGTTCGAAAATGGCGAGACTCAGCGCTGCCGATCCGAACATCGCTATAAGACATATCCAAAGAGGGGAATCGCAGTCTTCTGTTGCACGCCACTTCAACGTTCACCACAGTATCATTTGCCACCTTTGGGGCCGATACATACAGTTCAATTCCACTGTAGACCGTCCGAAAACCGGCCGTCCAAGAGTTACCACCCCTGCACAGGATCGCTACATTCGACTGTTCCACCTACGTCATCGCAATGCCACAGCTATGGAGACTGTGGGACGCATCCCTGGTTTGAGGAGGATATCGGTCCAGACTGTCAGGAACCATCTTCGCGAGGCGGGGAAACAGATCCATCGACAGTAACGCTTGCGTTGGTGCCATACCTTACAGCCTCGGAATTGGAGAAACTGGAGACCAGTATGGTTTAGCGATGAATCACGATTTCTTCTTCACCGGCGAGATCGAAGACAAGTGTTTATCGTCGTCGAAATGAGCGTTTTGCCCCACATTGTGTACGTGAATTCGACAAATTCGGTGGCGATAGTGTCATGGTGCGGGGGGCCATATCCTACACCAAGAGATCTGACTTTGTTGTGGGTCAGCAGGTCAACTGGCCAACGCATTACAAGCAGAATGGCGCAGAATTCTGCAGGACAGAATTCGTACACTTATCCAGTCAGTGCCGAGGAGATGCAGAGCCGTGATTGCTGCCCGGGGCGGTCACACGAGATACTGAGTTCAGCGCAACCATGTGGCCCTATGTGACATGACAATGAACAGTTTTCAATGCCTTTGTACAACGACAACAAGTGACTATCGAGCTCCAAAATGTCATATTTCTATCTATGATACTAGATAATATATATCGACTTTATCAGGTACAACAACAGTTGTTGACACTTTGAAGTAATTTCACAAAGTGGTAGGCCGGGAGGCATAAATAAGATCTGTAGATAAATCTCGCTCGTATATTTTGCCTCAGGTTGAGACAGCAACATTTGATGTTATACATGATTTCGACATCAGTACTCCGGATCAATAGGTGCATGGTGTGTTTCTTATTGTGCATATTCCTGAATGCAAATACGCCAATAAACATCGATCATTCGTCCAGCAACGATTTTGACACATTCAATATCCTATGTAAAAGAACAGTATAAGTTGTCAACCGATCTCGAGGTGTTCATCACACAATATGCCCCGAGGGATCGGTAAACAACGAATTTTTCTCACTGACATTCCTACATACAGACCCGGATTATAGTTATCTAGATTTGTGTTCTTGAAACATAAGATCGAATGATAACAAATCCATGTGTGTTCCAAATCACAAGTATTTTTTTTTATAATTAAATGTTTATAATCAAATTTAATATTTTTTAATCATGATGTAAATTCAGCGGTAACTCCACTGTATATATTTTGAGGAAGTATCTGCTTTGGTACGTTAGTTTTACCAGTTCTAAGCATGTTTGCTGTAAAATCGCAAAGAAAAACAGTGGGTTAGAGACATTAAAACAAACTCCAAACGCACAAGCATAAGAAAGCTGAAGCATTGTGCATTCTCGTGAAGTAAAGCATATTTATTGACTGAAGTACTCTTTGCCCTCATGCCGACAACGTGATAACAGTGATCTGTTAAATATATTGTTGATCGGGTGTAATAAAGACAAATACCGAAATGAAAAGTGTTCTGCTATCATTGCATGTCTCTCATCTAGTGTGGTGTTCCACTGCCTTAAACCCATCCCGCTGTCGTTCAAGCATAATCTTAACCATTACGTCAATGGTTTTTGCGTGCTCTCGTACATCAATCGTGAGAATCAACGAGATCTCGGGAGCAGCTGTGTAACACGGAATACTTGATCTCCTCGTGGCGATGGCCCGCGTACAGGGTGTGGTACAAGGGGTCCCCGGCCGTGTGGATTCTGTCGCATAATCCGTGAATGGATTATTTTAACACTTTCATTGTATGCCATAAATCACAACTGTTTTTATCCATAGAACTGTAAGAACAGGGGTCAAATTTAGCAAAGCAATCTTAGCATGATTCCCATACTTGTTTGTAAACCTTTTGCTCACAATATTCACACATTCGTTCTTTGTTTGTTTGGGGACACGGGTGGCCCAGTAGTCAAAAGCGCCGCCATTCGCTCTACAGAGTTGTACTTCTAGCAGACTCAGCCGAGGACCTACATCTGATGATGTGTCTCTCACAGTGGTGCCAACGGAATGGAATTCATGTCAATGAGAACAAATGATAAGTGAAACATTTCAGAAACCACAGAGTTGTGTTATCAGATTGCGACTATATTTCCCATTGATGTCTGTCTGAGGACTGTCGAACAATGTACCTACCTTGGTCTGGTCCTCGTTGAACACCTCGACAGCAACAAGATGATCACACAAGTAGCAGCGTCGGGGGAGCGTGCGTTGAGATTGGTGACACCAAAATGTAAATTTCTTGGCAATGTTGGTTTTAAAACATTAATCATATTAAATGATTCTTAAGTATAGGCTGTAATCGCATGAGGAAGAAACAATATTGGGAACAAAGGACCGTTCATGCATCAATTCTATACAGAACCGTGCCACGAGTTTTTGTTTGGAATTAGAAAAGGACCGATCCTAATGCTTCAGTCATAGGTAAAACGTTTATGGCAACACGAAGGTAGCTTAGAAAATATGACCATCAATTAATTCCCTTTACAATATAGATAAGTACTCTTATATATATTTGACTTTGTACTTCTGCCGAGTCACAGTGACTGTGGTGAATTCACACGAAGCATATACACTGTCAGATAGTACCCATACCTAAATCTGACACATCTTAACTCCGCACAACGCTGTAAGCTATACACCAAATGAATGAAAGAAGCAAATACTGCTTGTCATCTTTGATCACGTGACACACCAAACAACCGCCGCTGTATAAATGTGACTGGGGCTGTGGGTGCCCCACAGTCGTCTGAAGCTACAACTTGATCTTAAAGATGGAATCCCTTCTCGCTATGTGCCTGCTTGTCGGTAGGTTTCAGCGTCATACTTTTATCATTTATTTCTTTTCATGATATCGACTGTTTACATGTTTGAAGTTCTCTAACCACACCTTCTGCTGCACATTGTTGTGGCTGTTGTTTTTATAATTATATCAAATTGTGAAATTGTTGTGAAATACTCTAATCCAACATATACTGTCTCATATTGATGATGTATTGGCGACGATTAGCTGACTGAAAAATGCATGAGTGAGTGAGTTTGGTTTTACGCCGCTTTTAGAAATATTCTAGCAATATCACGGCGGGGGACACCAGAAATGGGCTTCACACATTGTACCCATGTCGAGAATCGAACCCGGTTCTACGGCGTGACGAGCGAACGCTTTAACCACTAGGCTACCCGACCGCCCGTGTGCATTTTGAACTGTTCCATATGCATGCGTTGTTGAATGTGCCACATGCATACGTTATCACGTGAGCGTGTGAATGCGTTATCGGGTGTGCCATATTCATGCATTGTCATGATCATATGTGACTTTTGAATGCGATATGAAATCTGTATTATTCACGATTTACTATCGGTCTGTAACTAAGGTTGTAACTGGATGTTTTGTTTGAAACAGAAAGTCAGCGCTTCAGGTCATACATATTTGCCGACAGGAAGGGTAAACACTTTCTGTCAGCATTTCCACTATATATGTACATTGTTTATCAAGCATTTTCGTGAACAGATATTTTCCCCAACCACCCCCCCCCCCTCCCCCCCCCCTCCCGATGATCCAACCTAACTGTAGATATAATTACGTAACAAAGCGTTAGAGGTGTTATAGTGTTTCAAACTCCGAACCGCCATGTAAGATGTGGGAGTGCAGGGCAGATGGTCCTGAGGTTGTTTAGTATATCAGTATATCAAAAAAACATTACTTGAGGTAACATATATTTTTCTGTTTCAGCATTTGCTGTGATCAGCATTGCGATTAGTCCCGCTGAGGCAGCTTCAGGTAAACAAAATTGTATTTTATTGATATTAATTCTGTTTTATTAAGCCTAATAACCCACTTTAACTGATTATTGAAAAAAACATTAAAAAAAATGTTGGTTGTGCTATATACTCAAATATTATACGGGGTTGGTCGAGGGTGTGGGTGTGTGGGGTGAGGGGTGAGGGGTGAGGGGTGGAGGTATGTGGGGTGAGGGGTGTGTTGGTTGTTGCTGTGGGGTGTTGGGTGTTGGTGTGAGGGGTGAGGGGTGAGGGGTGGAGGTATGTGGGGTGAGGGGTGTGTTGGTTGTTGCTGTGGGGTGTGGGGTGTTGGTGTGAGGGGTGAGGGGTGAGGGGTGGAGGTATGTGGGGTGAGGGGTGTGTTGGTTGTTGCTGTGGGGTGTGGGGTGTTGGGTGTTGGTGTGAGGGGTGAGGGGTGGAGGTATGTGGGGTGAGGGGTGTGTTGGTTGTTGCTGTGGGGTGTTGGGTGTTGGTGTGAGGGGTGAGGGTTGGAGGTATGTGGGGTGAGGGGTGTGTTGGTTGTTGCTGTGGGGTGTGGGGTGTGGGGTATGGGGTGTGGGGTGTGGGGTGTGAGGTGTGAGGTGCAGGGTGTGAGTGTGTGGAGCGTGGTAATACTTTCAGGGGCTAGTTTCCCGGGAACAGACTCAAATATACTGAACAACAAAAGTTCCTGTGACATTGAATAAGATTTAATGCAAACGACGTACGGTTTGTGAAGATATTCGCCGAAGGCCAAGGATGCTTCTTGCAGTCACTGTTGCTGGTTGGAATCGATTTCGTACGTGTGTTGTTCGAATCCAGTTATCGATTATTGGTTACGCGTGGCCTACCACTCCGAGGATGGTCTCTGACTGCATTCGTCTGTTGCCAACGTTGCCATAAACACCAAATGGTGTCTCTGTGGACGTTAAATTGTCTTGCAACATCACGTTGACTCGATCCTGCTTCAGGCATACCATTGGCTCGCAGACGCTCATTTTCGAACAGGCGTGGCATTTCGTAATGTTGAATAATTGCGTAATTTTGTTGTTTTTCTGAGTGGTTGTTGTCAGCACGATGCTAAAAAATGCATATGGAATCCGCACATGTTTTTATACCCATTCTTGTGTAGTGAAATGCATGGGGCTTGCATAAAAGTCAACTTTAGCATGGAATGCATGCTTTTCTGTAGCAGTTGCGTTTTTGTGACTTGATTCCATACATGTACTACAATACTGAAAACCAAACTTTACTTGTTTGAAAAATACACTAAAATATTGGTGCCGCAGGAACTTATGTTGTTGAGTATACTTACAATGATGGGAGTAATACAAACTGTATGAGAGTGGCCTCAAACAACATTCACTCACTCACCTAAAGTACCATTACACATTACAATATACGAAAAACAACTATTTAACACTAACCCGAATCGTAGACAGCTTTATTTAACATTCAGCCTTAGTGTTTATGAAAAACGATTTGACATACTATGCTCCACCGTTTACTCATAACCCAAAAAGACGTTACTGTATTGGAGATGTGGGAATTTATAATGACCACTAGCAAAAATAGAAGTAACACTGGCAGGATACTAGCAGAACACCAGCAGAACACTAGCAGTAACACGAGCACAACACCAGCAGTAACACGAGCATAACACTAGCATTTACACTAGTAGTAACATCAGCAAAACACTAGCAGCACAACACTAGCAGTAACACTAGCAGTAACATGAGCACAGCACTAGCATTCATACTAGCAGTAACATGAGCACAACACTAGCAGTAACATGAGCACAACACTAGCAGTTACACTGGCACAACACTAGCATTTACACTAGAAGAAACATCAGCAAAACACTAGCAAAACAATAGCAGTAACACTAGCAGTAACATCAGCACAACACTAGCAGTAACACTGGCACAAACTCTAGCATTTACACTAGCAGTAACATGAGCACAGCACTAGCATTTACACTAGCAGTAACATGAGCACAGCACTAGCATTTACACTAGCAGTAACATGAGCACAGCACTAGCATTTACACTAGCAGTAACATGAGAACAGCACTAGCATTTACACTAGCAGTAACATGAGCACAACACTAGCATTTACATTAGCAGTAACATGAGCACAACACTAGCAGTAACACAGCACAACACTACAGTAACACTAGCAGTAATACGAACACAACACTAGCATGAAGCACCGTCCATCAACTTGAAGTCATTTATATTCATTTTCTTATCAATAAACATTACATGACAATTTTGTTTATAAAATAATTTTCGTTTACAACCTGAACACCTGCTGTGTGGTGATGTACCTCGACATGGGAGGAGGGGGCTCGTGGGGGTGAGGGGGGGTTGATATACAGCCTATTTCCTTTCCTCGAATAACACTGCACAGCTTCATGAACAATCACACAGTAGGCTCCTGTCTCATGTTCATGTATGTGAGTGAATACTGTTTGAAATTAATTTTCATTGTGAGTTCTCGGGGAATCGGTTGAATGAACTTGATTGAAGGGAAGGATAATACGTGTGCGCACACATAAAGAAGGTATTGTCGAAATTGCTCGGGGCGAAATATTGGACTTTGATAACATTACCAACACATTTCTATTGTTGATCTCACGATAATTATGCTAATGCAACTTGGTTGTGATTGGACATATTTGTATGTATTCATATGTACGGGTATCGTGGTGTGTGTGATTATGTGTGCGTATGTGTGTGTATGCATGCGTGTGTATGTGTGTGTAATTGTCTATGCGCATGTGTGTGTATGCATGCGTGTGTATGTGTGTATGTGACAGTGTGAGGACACACGTGCGCATGTGAGCGTAAATATGAGTACATGTGTACGTGGTGGTATACTAGTATTCGGTTTGTTTTTCAGAGCCTGAGAACTCCGCCGCCACCCAAGGCTTCTCCGTCCTTTTCGGGTCCTTGGCGCTTGTGCTGGGCTACGTCCTGTCGAAGTAGCCAGTGTCCGCCATGATGTCATCTGTCAAGGATCTGTAGCTGGAAACAAGACGGAGGCTCACCTCATGAAAAACTGAAATACTCATTCATATGGACATTTTTTAGTTCATAAAGTTACCATATCGTGCTTTTACCATTACCTGGCCTCATAAAATACAAACCCCAGATCATAAAGAAATGTGATTTGAACTTCAAGTTGTATTGTTGTTTATCCAAAGTGTGTTTGGTCTTCGTGAGCGGTATTTCGGCGATGTGTTACTGCAACTGTTATCATCAGTGTTGCTGTCGTCAGTAAGTCCTGCCCCAGGACGTGGCGACTATTGCCAACATATAGGCGTATTCTATAGGAAGTCTGCAGTCTGAAATATCCTTGAAAAGCCCCTTGGGTAACATCGAGGTCTTCATAGGTCTCGGGGCGGTCGGGTAGCCTAATGGTTAAAGCATTCGCTCGTCACGCCGAAGACCCGGGTTCTATTCCCGATATGGGTACAATGTGTGAAGCCTATTTCTGGTGTCCCCCGCTGTGATATTGCTAGAATATTGAGGCGTTAAACAATACTCACTCACTCCTCACTTCATAGGTCTCCCAGACTGCCATAAACGCCTTTGTGGATTGAAGCGTTGCAACTCGATGGTCATGGGTTCGAACCCGGCAATGATCCTTGGTCAGTAAGTAATCGTTGGTTGATTGTGATTGGCAGTGTAAGCCGTATAACAGTAAGCTTACCTTAGAACTGTATATCTGAGATACAGTGCAGTTTCAGAAATTACATGTTCAAAGTCTTCAAATACCGTTGATCAGTAAAACATTAAAACATTTACCCAGATGAAACGAAATATAATATTGACTTAATACGTCCCGCAATTTGACAATTACATATATGATATAGGCATGTTTGTTCTACATCGGATCTCTGTTGGTGAGAACATCCTTAGGTCTACATATCACTGAAGTATAATACACTGCCGGACAAAAGAAAATATACACCCACGCTTGATCGTGGTTTTCGATGGTGATATATTTGACACTGGTATCATAGTTGTATTTTGGACCTTAAGGTTTCTGTGTTTTGTTTGTAATGTTTTGGGCAAAACGATTTTTTAAGTGTCTACGTCTACCCGGCCGTTTTGTAGGTATACATATCTGTGAGTGTAATGTCTCTCCTTCTACACTGCTTGTGTGTTGTTTAATGCCGACGGTCTGTTAATAATCGCGTCTGGACCAAACAATCCAGTGATTGACATCATGAACATCGATCTAACGAAATGGGAAACGATGACGTGCATCATCCAAGTCAGCGAGCCTGACCACCCGATCCCTTTAGCCGCCTCTTACGACAAGCATGGGTTGCTGAAGACGAATTCTAACCCGGATCTTCAAGGGTCCTTCTACACCGATGATAATCTTTAAAGGGCTTAAACACTATTGTATAGCACTATAAAGTTACCCTAATTCAGTACAGATAATGTCTCGATTACATGCATGACACTGATTACAAGATCAGGGCCAACTTGCACAAAGCGATCTTAGCGCTAAGACTATCGTAAGCCTATGTTAATGTATAGGAGCTAAGATCATCTTAGCGCTAAGATCGCTTTGTGCAGGTGGGCCCTGATCTCGGACTGGAAATGACATACCGTTGAGCAATCTCACCTTGAGACACCTTGATTAATAATTTTGGTCGCTTCATGATTCCGTACTTCCTTTTAACCATTATGTTAATCTAAAATAATAACTTCTGTAAACTAAAATGACTTCATGCATGAACAAGGTTACAACATTCATGGCCTCATTAAAGATTCGGTCCGGGGTAGAATAGGTCTTCAACAACCCATGCTTGCCGTAAAAGGCGACTATGCTTGTCGTAAAAGGCGGCTAACGGGATCGGGTGGTCAGGTTCGCTGACTCTTTTGATGAATGTCATCAATCCCAATTGCGTGGATCGATGCTCATGATATCAATCACTGGATTGTCTTGTCCAGACTCGATTATTTACAGACCGCCGTCATATAGCTGGAATATTGCTGAGTGCGGCGTAAAACAACAAACAAAACATTAAAGATTCCAAAAGGCTTTTTAGTCGGAATCGTTCAATGGACATAGCTCTTAGCATAGGAAGGGTTATGTCATATATATTTATTGACATGGGTGAGACTTGTATGTAACTGAGTGAGAATTGTTATGTGGTGATTTTAGCACTATCCAAGCAACGGAACAAGAATTGGGCTTTACATATTGTACCACGAGGCTAGCCCACCGCCCGTGTAACTGTGGCATGGCATAAATTGTTTGTTCTACTTGAGGAGACAAAAGACGCTGGTACCTGGTTCGGTACAGGTTATCTGATAGTCTTTGCTGAAATTCATTTAGGAATAATGTTATATCGCCGATTTCTTGTTGTAACCAAACCTAAGCTGAACAAAATGGTTTTAATTGATGTCGCAGTTGTCCTTCTTCCCATCCCATCAAGTGAATTTAGCGTTGATGAGGAGGCTTGGCGAGGTAATCTGTGAGTGTCAAGATGAAGAAGCCTGCACCAATATTTGCCTGCTCTTGTCATATGGATAGACTGTAGAGGGAGACTGTCACACTCCCCAAATACCATGCCTATGTGTAAACTGACTGCACTTTATTAAGCGGTATAATAACACCATTCATGTAATTTCATTGGGTAATATTTCAAGTCCCATGTCAAAGAGGGTGAATTTTCCCCCTATGCAGATATGTATGGCAATTACATAGATATGTAGATATGTATGTAGTTTTCAATGGTACAGAGTCATAAACATGCTTCAGGTCATGCGTTATTTTCTTTATATCAGTGTTTAAAACACCTACCGTGCTCGTGGGTTTCACCGAAGTGGTAAACGTCTGAGACCTGCATCACTTCGGGCTTTCCTCCCACATTAAGCTGACACGCCGCGATATAACTGTAATACTGTTAAAAGCGGCGATAAACCCAACTCACTCACACTTATAACACCTACGTCAGCTTCCAGCTCTAAACTGATGGTTCAGTCATAACATGACAACCAGGCACGTAATCGTGCAATACATCTTACTTGTGAATTCGAGAGCTCGACTGGAAATACAAAAACATAATGTCCCTCTCGAATGTCACCCATAAAATAAATAATTATGCCCATAGTGCAACAAGAAGAATTATTACCCTGAGTGAAACTATGTGTTCTGTAGGAAGACGTACATGTAGCTGGATATCCCGGTGTAGGCTGGTCGCCCCTGATCACCTCAATATTTCCACTCTGAACCCCGGGTGGGCAGAATACGTTCACCCTTTCGCGAACGCTGGTATCAGTGAGTGAGTGAGTGAGTGAGTTGGGTTTAACGCCGCTTTTAACAGTATTCCAGTTATATCACGGCGTGTCAGCTTAATGTGGGAGGGAAGCCCGAAGTGATGCAGGTATCTGACGTTTACCACTTCGGTGAAACCCACGAGCACGGGTATGGTGCTGACAAACCTCGAAACATAATCGGGGCGAACAGGATTCGAACCAACAATCATAGGTTTCTGGCGTGCCTAAGGGACGCAACTCTGCACAGCGAATCGCGGCGCCTTAGACGACTGGGCCCCCCGCGCCCCCCGCTGGTATCATGACTATTTGATAGTGATAGTGAAACACATGCTCGCGATATAGTCGGACTCGTACAATGGACTCGTCTTTTGACAGATACTTCATGTGAATATAGAACGGGTTTTGTCGCTTTTTTATATTCTTTGTAAATGAAAAGTTGTCCTGATTTTCCAGTGTTGGGTGTCATCACAATTCCAATGAATATATTTAGTTGTTGGCTCTTTGAAGTAATTCTAAAAAGATATAAGCCGAGAGGCATACTTTAGATCTGCGGATGAACAATGACTGGTAATTTTTGCCTTAGGATGACACAGAAAAATTGGATGTTAAACAGGATTTCGACTTTTGAATACATGTCATCAGTATATGCCCCACTGCCTTTGGGTCGATAGGCGAAGAATGTCCTCCTTTCCCACATATGTTTTTTTTTACTTGATACTACCGCCACATGACTTTTGGGGTGAATGTGTTTTGATGATATGTACGCATTGCCCTGAGGGGGAAGGAGTTCCCCTCCATGGGGGACTTTTAAATAGCATCCCTTCGGGAGACAGTTATATATGTACAGTACCGATCACGTAGGTGCGTTAATATGTGTATGCTGGATTCCTTAAGAGGAAAACTGAATTTTATATTGACACGACGTTTGGGGGTCACGATGGTGCTTTTAAAACGTTTTCCTTTAAGTGTGTTCTTAACAAGAATTGAGGACAATTCACTCATGACTATTTTATCAGAGCTTACAATGAAGAAGCCAATAAGTCTACATTGCGTCGCGGATATATTTTACATGTAACTGGGTGTTCTACAATAATACAAATTATCTTGCTTCCATGTGAGAAAGTTAAGAACTGATTGGTTCACGTGATCTTGATATAATGCTATGTATGCGGCCTGGGAGGGACATATAATACTGAGCGGAAGAATAAATTCCATATACCCCGCCTCGAAGCAGAAAAGATGTACGTTGCTTTGAAGTCAATGACAGTCACGTGACACAGCACAAGTTAACGTCAGCTCAAACGAACAGCTGTTTTCTGACACTTTTCAGTTTGCCTCCGGGACGTATAAAACCACGTTTACCACTCGTGATAATAAGTACCCATCCTTAAAGGTTTTGAACATTAACGAATAAAGTTTATAAAGTGTCATCCAGTAATTTCGTTTTACTGATAGAAGCGGCAGTAAATTATCAGGACCGACGCCAACAATTAATTTGTATAAACGTTATAGCGTATCGAAACTGTAAGTTACAGTAGAAAATAAATTAAACTTAAAGTTTGAAGAAGACATTTAGGGGATGCCAGTGTCAAATTGAGTTGGTACTGACAAATCAGTAAGTTTCATGCATATTTCTAAATGCAAATATACAATAAAAACGTCGCTCTGTCGCCCAGCATTAATTTTGACATATTCTGTATCTTATTTAAAACAATAAGAGCCCATGTATACTTGAAAATTACTTAACAATACACTTAACTTATCTCAATCACCCGCTTTGACATTTTACTGTCGCTAATATTATCAAAAATTGAAATTTGGAAGAAAAAACAACGGACAACAGTTTACCCAGCTTTGATGATGCTCTTCATGGAGATTGCATTGTCAACGCCTCCTCTGATTGCTGGACCAGATAAGGACGGTCGTTAAAGGATGACAGGTATCATATCTGATGGCCACTATAACCACGTGACCTGAAGCGACATTTATTGGTACTGCTGAAACATTGGTATGGACTTGATACTGTTACAACTGTGTATGACGACAGATCGGTAAGTAGAGACTTGCGCCAAGGAAACAAAGCTAACCTTCAGGTATATCGATATCTGATAACGTTCAATAATGATCCAATAACCAATTACCTTCCAAAGATTTACCCGCCTGAACTACGAATAAAGTAGACCAGTGGGGTTGCAAAAATATTTTAAAGCTACCGAAAGATAAGAGGTTGGAATACACATTTCCATTTGTTTACTTACTTCTTATAACGAGCAAGGGGCGGTCGTGTAGCCTAGTGGTTAAAGCGTTCGCTCGTCACGCCGAAGACCCGGGTTCGATTCCCAACATGGGTACAATGTATGAAGCCCATTTCTGGTGACCCCCGCCGTGATATTGCTGGAATACTGCTAAAAGCGGCGTAAAACCATACTCACTCACTCACTATAACGAGCAATATTCCAACATCTCTTGGTGTCTACATTTCACTACTCCTGAGGTACAATCGAGCATGCTCTTACTGCCAAGATTTCAAACAGCGTCGTACGACTCTTGCCTAAAGGTTTAGTGAAGCTTTCGGAATATTTTATGGAGGACATATGATTTCACTTTGCACGTGTTTATGACGGTGCTACCGCCGAGACACGATACGCTCACCTTTTTGGAAACTCCAAACAAGTTGAAAGTGATTTATTAACACATACTTATGGTGTGGTAGGAATCGTACATGTGTTTAGTAGAGATTTATTATAATTATGGAAAGAGGATTTTGTCGCTTTTATTTAGGCCCAAAGTGTTTGTATGAAGTACTTTTCTATTTTCCCACATACCATATGAAAGTAATCATTTACAAAATAATAATAACTATGTGATGTAAAGGTCCAATCCGATTACGTTATACTTCCAATAGGAAATAAAGGAATATATTCGTGCAGTCAGTATAGACCGGTGACTTTGTTCGTAACAGAATCTAGCTGATTGGCTAGTCGTCTTGTAAAATCCCATACAGGTCGTCTGTCAAGCCTGTGCAGATGTCACACTCAACTATCTCAACGAACTGAATGGTGCATATATTGGTCAGTAGCGGAGTGTACGTGATTTTACGAGCTGATCGCTCACTCGATCACTTTGGAAGCCAGACGCAAAATCACAAACACTCCACTACTGACACATCACCATTTTGTGTGCCTGAGAATTTCAACTTTTAACTTGAGTAATTCCGAAAAATATGCCCTCAAGCTTCATGGAAACGAGTAATAGGCACAGTGAGAATTGACTTTTGGAAGCTTAGTTCAGGTAATATCTCATCTGCATGATTCGTGTCTCAAAGCAAACCAGTGACGTGTCACCTCAGCAGATCTTTGCGTTGTAGCTCAATCTGACGATTCGTCAATATATCACTGATAATGGGGCGACATGAGCTTTCACTTGACAAAGAATTAAACAAACATTATATTACAAAGAATCGACCTTTATTTTCGCTGTACTACATGAAATTTCCAAAAAGATTTGTAAATTTACAAATAAATAACTATCGTCCATTTTGGGAATACTTTCAGCTTATGTTGCATTTCATTGTCTACCTCTTCCAACTACATACCAGGTTCCAGGGATTGTGTCCGCATGTATAACATTAAGAAATATCCTTATACACCTGCATTAATACAAATTGAATACTTTACTTATGCTTTTATTTTAATTAAACATCTCAAACACACAGCTGTATTACTGCAAGAGAATCCGGGGGTTCAGGTTAGGGTTAGGCAGGATTGTGTCGGGTCAATGTCATGATCATGCGTAGAATGGAACCTCTTGAAAACCACAAGAACCTCAACATGTAAACCCCCTTGGAAGTCATGCACATGTTAAAAATGTGTCTTGTTAAATGTATACATTTGTATAATGATACACCCAATGACAAGTCATAGCAGGATATATATGGTTTTCCATTGTGACTGGATTTAATGGTTCATCTGTGTTCTCAGCACAACTGTTATCAATATTAAAACACAGCGAATAGCCTATATAATCATTTTAAGTTTCAATATCTGGTGGATCAGTAGCTTTGATAGGGATTTGGAAGTTAATGATTTTCAGGAAATATATGATACTGACTTATCACTGGTGATGAGAGCTAACTAGCACTATAGGCTTGGAATCTGAACATAAACGTAAATCGTATACTTGGATTAAATTAATTCTAACTCATCAATATGTGAGCTGCAGACTGTATGGTAAAGGTGAGGACAGACAGGTGGATTTTGACCTCCCGCCAGCGTGTAGCGTTGTCCCCGATCTGGTAGAGGAGGTCAGCCAACCCTGGGAACGTCGTCGTTTTGTAGTAGTTGGCGCTGCTGGGGGAGAGCAACACGTGCCTGGAACACAAGCAGGGTCAGATGAAGACATGACGTAACAACGAGAACATAATGACAATGGTCTAAAGGAACACACGGAACAAACAGATTTAGAAGATGTGGACATGGCGTCACAATCGGAACATCTTGACATCGGAACACATAGGAACACAGACAAGAAAAGATGTTGTGGACAAGTCACACTCAGGACAAAATGATGATAGTCCAAATGAACACAGACACACAAGATGAAGCGGCCATAACGTCAAAATTTAAACATTGTTATGGCCTTTCGGCAAGAACAAATATGCACATGACGTCACAGTCAGAACATAAAGATAATGACCTACAGGTACACTAGCAGGAACAGGAACTGACACAGAAATGGGAAGAGTGGAATTATAGGTGTCGTTCTGTTATGATGATAAACAATCCCTTGTAATCATGTAGCTAAGAGCTCAAGACGTACCCAAAAATCCAAAATTACGTTTTGGTTCACCCTTGGTGTCTTAATTTTGTGTTCATTAGAAAGTATTTTGTGTGACAACAAATTCAATTCATTTTACCAGTGTTCAGCACATATATTATTGCAGCTCTGGTCAACATAGTATTACTTCGAGTGGGATATAATTTTAGAGTTTGCTTTCCTAATCTAAATTTGAAATGATTAAATTTGGGTTATTTGTCACATTTCCTGTCGGTTGGCCATTTGGACAAGGACGAACAGACACGCATCCCTAATCAGCTGAAAATTCGATCAAGCATCGGGTTATTGACACATATCCCTTATAGGTTGAATAATCAAGGACTAAGTAAAGCTTTAAGAAAAGTTTATAGCAGTCATATGGAGGACATTTTCAAATTTGACGCGGCAGAAGGCAAAATGATGTCCGATGGAATTCCTTATGGTTAGTGGGCCCGGGTTGCCTAGAGTTGCGTCCCTTGGGCACGCCAGAAACCTATGATTGTGGGTTTGTCAGCACCATACCAGTGCTCGTGGGTTTCACCGAAGTGGTAAACGTCTGAGACCTGCATCACTTCGGGCTTTCCTCCCACATTAAGCTGACACGCCGTAATATAACTGGAATACTGTTAAAAGTGGCGTTAAACCAAACTCACTCACTCAATCTTTATGATTATCCTTATGGGAAGGGAGTGGTGGCTGTATGAAGGAAACCCGAGTTCACGGGCATGCGCTGTATCTTATACGTCATACGTATTCCAACGACTTAATCACATCCTGCTTCTACTTAATTGCCTAATAAAAATCATATCGCATCACTCACGTACTGATACAGTGACATATACGAGTTCTTCTCTCACTTGTACTTAAATCACTCCTGTACTGATACAGTGACATATACGCGTTCTTCTCTCACTTGTACTTAATTGCCTAATAAAAGTCACATCGCATCCCTCACGTACTGATACAGTGATATATACGTGTTCCTCTCTCACTTGTACTTAACTGCCTAATAAAAGTCACATCGCATCACCCACGTACTGATACAGTGACATTGACGTGTTCTTCTCTCACTTGTACTTAATTGCCTAATAAAAGTCACATCGCATCCCTCACGTACTGATACAGTGACATATACGTGTTCTTCACTCACTTGTACTCCTTCCTGCTGGGGAGCCCTGTGTGGACTTGAAACGCCTTCTCCAGCGTCATCAGCTTGTCGTTGACACCACGGACAGCTATAGGGCTGAAACACGACAGAATATGTATGTCCCCCAGTAACCAATGTAGCTGTGTCACCTTAAGGCTTGGGGTTGCAAGGGGAGAATGGGTGTCACCAGTATGCCATGTTTGTCGATGACAGCTATAGGGCTGAAACACATAACAATATATATGTCCCCTAGGTTTCAATGTAGTTGATAACCCCTTGGGTCATCAGTATGCCATGTTTGTCGATGACAGCTATAGGGGTGAAACACACAACAATATATATGTCCCCTAGGTATCAATGTAGTTGATAACCCCTTGGGTCATCAGTATGCCATGTTTGCCGCTGACAGCTCTAGGGGTGAAACACACAACAATATATATGTCCCCTAGGTATCAATGTAGTTGATAACCCCTTGGGTCACCAGTATGCCATGTTTGTCGATGACAGCTATAGGGGTGAAACACACAACAATATATATGTCCCCCAGGTATCAATGTAGTTGATAACCCCTTGGGTCATCAGTATGCCATGTTTGCCGCTGACAGCTCTAGGGGTGAAACACACAACAATATATATGTCCCCTAGGTATCAATGTAGTTGATAACCCCTTGGGTCACCAGCGTGCCATGTTTGTCCTTGACTGCTAAAGGGCTTGCAACACGTCACAATTGTATACATTCCGATTCACACATGTAAATACACGTGGTTCAGTCATGTTAACCCCTGTGGTTCACCAGTCACCTATGAATGTGGTTCAGAGGTATTTGGCCAGGAGCAGAGCAAATAATATGTACGTCCCTTAACTCTTGTGGGGTTCTGAAGAAGACGGGTATGTCCCCAGTGCTTCCGTTGCGCGTGAGAATGGACCCCCAACAAGCATCAAGCGGATTACAATGAGTGGGCATATATAAATGCTTTGAAACGTACTTATTTTGACACTAGAAAGGTGTTAGATCAATGGTTTTGCATATTCCTACTTTGTCATATCGAGGTTCCTCAGACTCGCGTGGAAGTCACGTGACGCCCTCGTGAAGTTGTCCGCCGCAGACTGGATGGCACCTGGGGAGACAGACTTGATACATATGTTTTGTTTGGTTGTTTGTTTGTTGTTTAACGCCCCACTAAGCAATATTTCAGCTGTATGACGGCGATCTGTAAAACAATCAAGTTTGGATCAGACAATCCAGTGATTGACATGAACCTCGATCTATATGAACGCAATTGGGATACGACTACATTTATCATCCAAGCTACCCGATCCCGTTAGTCGCCTCCTACGAAAATCCAAGGTTACCCGGATCTTCATTGGGAACAAGCATTGGTCGCTAAAAAAACATTTCTAACCCGGATCTTCACGGGGGACAAACGTGTTGCTGAGGACCAATTCTAACCCGGATCTTCACGGGGGACAAACGTGTTGCTGAAGACCAATTCTAACCCGGATCTCACGGGGGACAAACGTGTTTCTGAAGACCAATATTATTCTAACCCGGATCTTCACGGGGAACAATAGTGTTGCTGAAGACCAGTTCTAACCCGGATCTTAACGGGGGACAAACGTGTTGCTGAAGACCAATTCTAACCCGGATCTTAACGGGGGATAAACGTGTTTCTGAAGACCAATATTATTTTAACCCGGATCTTCACGGGGAACAATAGTGTTGCTGAAGACCAGTTCTAACCCGGATCTTAACGGGGGACAAACGTGTTGCTGAAGACCAATATTATTCTAACCCGGATCTTCACGGGGAACAATAGTGTTGCTGAAGACCAGTTCTAACCCGGATCTTAACGGGGGACAAACGTGTTGCTGAAGATCAATTCTAACCCGGATCTTAACGGGGGACAAACGTGTTGCTGAAGATCAATTCTTACCCGGATCATCATGTGGCACAATAGTGTTGCTGAAGACCAATATTATTCTAACCCGGATCTTCACGGGGGACAAACGTGTTGCTGAAGACCAATTCTAACCCGGATCTTAACGGGGGACAAACGTGTTGCTGAAGATCAATTCTTACCCGGATCTTCACGGGGGACAAACGTGTTGCTGAAGAGCAATTCTAACCCGGATCTTCACGGGGGACAAACGTGTTGCTGAAGATCAATTCTAACCCGGATCTAAACGGGGGACAAACGTGTTGCTGAAGATCAATTCTAACCCGGATCTAAACGAGGGACAAACGTGTTGCTTCAGATCAATTCTAACCCGGATCTTCACGGGGCACAAACGTGTTGCTGAAGACCAGTTCTAACCCGGATCTTAACGGGGGAGAATAGTGTTGCTGAAGACCAATTCTAACCCGGATCTTCACGGGGGAGATAAAGATGTAGTCACGAGTGAGGACCAGATGCAACTCAACCTGAAGATCATGATCCATGGCCAGACTGTCATGTTCATCAAGACGATCACGGAAGAAAAATGGTATATTACAATGTATTGCAGTGGGAAATGATTAAAAGGTTCTTTCATATTCGGCGTTCGTGTGATGATTATTTGGTTTCCTGTGAGAGAACAAAAAGCCATATCAATGTACGGTTTAATTACTTGGTTCCAGATTTGTGTTAAATGAAAATAAACATGTCGTTTAAAGACGTGATCTCTGGAAGATATTGTCGATGAAGAAGAAAACCACCGAAAAAATCCCACTCATTATCTTCCTTCCCTACTTCTTTAATTGTCGAAATTCGTTGCCGATTTTAATCGGAGAAAATTATTTGATATCATCGACATTCTATTAGTTCATATGAAATATAAATCTGTTAATCTTCCATTACAAACAAATCGTTCTCTGTAGAATAAAAAATTGTGGCCTGACGTCACTGACGTAATTGACGTTCAGCTTGAGATGTAACCATGTAACATTTACCCCGCTCACGTCTCACTCACCTGATGTGATGCTCCACTGCCTAAACTGATCCTGATTGCGTGCGAAGAGATTTTTAACGAATCCATCAATTGCTGTTGCATAATCTCGTACATCAAACGGTAATAAATGAGAATCAACGAGATCTCGTGCGAGCTCGATATACAGTGCAGCTAAAGTACGGCACACTCTGAGTTGTGGATCTATCATCTTCACAAAGCGGTAACCGTCGTACAGGGTGTGGTACAAGGGGTACAGGCCCCGGAATATGCTGTTGCCAACATCCTGGGGAGGGAACAGATTTACATTTTATACGCATTCCCATACTGTGTTGCAGATCTACTATAGTCTTAGCAATAGTGCCCCCAACCCCCTTTTTGAAAGCCAAATATAGTATGTTCAGTAGTGAGTGAGTGAGTGAGTGAGTGAGCGTATGCCCGTGAACTCGGGTTTCCTTCATACAGCCACCACTCCCTTTCCATAAGGATAATCATAAGGAATGAGTGAGAGAGTTGGATTTAACGCCGCTTTTAACAGTATTCCAGTTAAATTACGGCGTGTCAAATTAATTTGGGAGGAAAGCCCGAAGTGATGCAGGTCTCATACGTTTACCACTTCGGTGAAACCCACGAGCACGGGTATGGTGCTGACAACCCTAGAAACATAATCGGGGCGAACCGGGATTCGAACCCACAATTATAGGTTTCTGGCATGTCTAAGGGACGCAACTCTGCACAGCGAATCGCGTCGCCTTAGGTCGACATGGCGTATTCTAAGTGGTTACAATAGTCCCTTATTCCTACCGGGACTGTTTATCAGCTCCTATGTTTGTTGCTGGTGGTGGCAACGGATCAATCTGATAGAAATGTGTGCCAGTGTGTACATTTACAAATCATATAACAAAGAATAATTAAAAACTGCGTTCCTTCTCCTTGATAAACCAGATCGAAAAAGCAAATTGATTACCGGTTTCAACAGTCAGATCGCGGGCCCCATGAACAGGCACCGGTTTTCGTTTTCGACGTGGAGCTACCACACATTATCATACCTCCATGTCAGAATGATGAGATCTGATTGGTCCACGTGATCTTGATAAGATACTGTGTAACCCGCCTTGGAGGGTCATACATTTCTCAGCGGGGAAATGTATCTCGTATACCCCGCCACGAGCAATACAGGCTGCACGTGGTTTTCTCAGAGGCCGAGTAAATCCCTTATTCCCCGCTCCAAATAAAAAAGTCGCACGCTTTTTCCGAGTTACTGGAAGTCACGTTACATTGCACAAATTAAGCGCAGCTCAATCGAACAGCTGTTTTCTATCAAGTTTGAAATTGTATTAATTTTTAATAATGTGACATTAAAACATGTCGGTAACATTCGTTGTAGCAGGATCACCAGAAAACCTAACGCGGGACGCATAAAACCCAATGTACCCCGAGTGATCCTGCCTCAACATATCATGTTCCCTTAGATTTGATACAGTTTATGTACATGCATTGATATTGTAGTCACTGGATAATGACTACAGTGGCAATAACTGTAAGTGAAAAATTAAAGAATCTTCATGCAGTAAACACTGTAATGTTGACACCAAGTGTCTAACCCTACCGTTTGCACTCACGGTCAAGGCCACTGATGCCATTCAAGCCCCTCAATAGTCCTCTGTGGAGAAAATCCTGATGAAGCCTGTAAGTTATGTTGATAGAAAGTATGTAATCTCACCACGAATACATAGCTGGCGTCTGTTGTCGGAATGGCGACATCCTGTTCAAACGGCAGAAAGTCTGACCCGGCCCCTGGGTGCCTGACACTGTAACAAAGGTCATAAACAATTTGAATGATACAGGACCAGTTAATACTCATGAACATGTGAGCGCTCTGTCTCATTGATGATATATCTAGTATTACTTTTCAGAAGATAGAATTATGTTATGTTATGTTATATATTAACGTCAACGCCATATATCTATGTTGACTTGATCTATGTTTTGTAACGTCAACGCAATATATATGTTGACATGATATATAAACCTTAACGTCAACGCTATGTATATGTATATGCTTCTTTGATTTGAAAAACCTACAGAGGATAAGCCTTGTCCAGGGGGTCAGGGTTGCGTTCCCGCCAAACGTCGAATAACGTCCTTCCTTCCTGGTGTGCATCGGGAACCTGCTAGGAGTGAGATGTTTTCAGAAACGGAAAGGGGAACAACCTAAATATGAGAGTTGCCCTGCTGTAGATAACGTCTCCAAGGAAATGATACCGTGTTTATTTTCAGCGAGACGTGGCATTGCGATGAGCGTTATTTACGGTTAAACCAAAATATTTTTATGAGCATCTGACAGCTAGACAATTATTGTGCGCTGTTCACATAAAAACACGTGTGCGAGAACAATGTAGCTAGAAAACTCGCAAACATCCAAATTGTGAATCACGACCTTAAAATCGAGGGAGTTTCTTCATGATTATTTCTTGAGGGTGCATGATTTAGTTTCAGAATATATATATTTTTATTGAACTTATTCCCCTTTGGTATAGTTTCTATTGACGTCCGTCCTCCGGTAAACGCGATCACCTGTTTCTTGACAGATCAGTATACATGAGTTCACGTTTTCACAATTTGTCAATCAGGAGATTGAATGATTGCAACTGGAGATTTTGTCCATTAAAATCAATATTGGCTGATAAAATTTAAATATGGCTGTGTGTGTGTGTGCGTGTGTGAGAGAGAGAGAGAGAGAGTGTGTGTGTGTGTGAGAGAGAGTGTGTGTATGTGTGTGTCTGAGAGAGAGTGTGTGTGAGAGAGAGAGTGTGTGTGTGAAGGAGAGAGTGTGTGCGTGTGCGTGTGTGAGAGAGAGAGAGAGTGTGTATGTGAGAGAGAGAGGGTGTGTGTGTCTGTGAGTGTGTGTGTGAGAGAGAGAGAGAGAGAGTGTGTGTGTGTGTCTGTGTGTCTGTGTGTGTGTGAGTGATTGAGTGAGTGAGTGAGTGAGTGAGTGAGTGCGTGTGTGTGTGTGTCTGTGTGTGTGTCTGTGTGTGCATACTAGTCCGAACCTCATAGTCTGGTTTTATAGTGCTGTATGACGCGGCCAGGGAATCGGTCCACCATCCTTCCGCAGTCCATTACATCACGAATACAACTCGATCACCTCCACGAAACCACCAAATCCAAAATCACAAATGTTATCTTCAACTAAGGGTGAGGTGAGGTGAAATCGGGTTTAACGTCACGTCAAAGATTATTGCATTGATATAGCGACGTGCATGTTTGGCTGCTTGTCCGGACTGATGCCAATTTATAGTGCCGCAGTTTAACATGAATACCCAGAATACTGACTCCGAGCCGACCACTCCTTGTTTTAGCCCCTTAATGCCGAGCGCCAGACAGGTTAACAGCAAGTACCATCTTTTAACGCCTTTTGGTATGACGCGTCCGGGGATCGAACCCCGGTCCCTCCACTCTCAGGGCGGACGCTCTCCCACTAGACCACGGAGGCGGTCTCTCCCAATGAAAGCCATACTGTAAATACATTGGTGTTATTCCAAACTTGTGTTTGTCTCTAATCCACTAGAGAGCACCATGGACCTTTATGGAAATGCAGCCTTCTTTAACATTGATTGAAATTGAAATTACTGTTCTTGTTTGCATGTTTTTGTCGCTCAACCATTAGTTTTCCTCGAGGTTATACCTTTAATTTAAGTGACTTACATGACTCCCAAATGGGGGAAAACGTCTTACCTTTCTAGCTGCTCTGTAAATCGCTTGTTTTAAAGTCGGCGTAGCTGACACGGCTATTGTGTAATTTCCTGAAATACGTGGATGTGGGGGATAATATATTTCAACATATGTCGCTGAATGATATAAACTGACGTCCAAAAGAAACTTTACCAGAGTTTGAAATCACTTTTGCTAAAAAACAACAAAACCTACATGCATGAAGTAAAGTGTATTGAGAAGATCAATATATCAACATAATTAACACTGAAAATGACAATCATACCGCGACCGAGAATGACGTCAGAGCCCCCCAAAGTTAGGTGTGGTACAAAACTCGAGCTTTCAGAATCATGGACAATAGGCAGAGTAAATAAACAATCGCTCACGTTCAATAAATCAGTCATTAGTAGCGTGTGTGACCACCAAATGCCTCAATACACGCAAACACTCTTCGACGGGACAGAAAAAGTCAGTCGTCTGATGAGGTCACGTGGGATTTGACGTCATTCTTCTTGGAGGGCCAAGATCAGTTCTTGCCGGTTGGCTGGAGATTGTGGTCGTTGTCGAACACGACGATCCATCAAGTCCCAGAGGTGTTCTATGGGGGACATGTCTGGTGAGCGTGCAGGCCACGGCAGGGCGTTGACGTTGTTGACTGCGAGGAAGTTAGTGACAATTCTGGCTGTATGGGCTCTAGCGTTGTCATGCTGATAAATGACACCACGTGGCTGCTGTTGGAGAAATGGTAGGACAACTGGACGAAGAATGTTATCCATGTAACGCCTAGCTGTCAAGTTTCCGTCAACGATGACCAGCGGTGTCCTCTCCTGCCGACAGATCCCTCCCCACACCATGACACTTCCTCCACCATATGGTACGACCTCCTGCACGCAACACACCGCAGTTCGTTCGCCCCTTCAGCGGTAAACACGTTGTCTTCCATCAGCCCTAAACATACAGAATCGACTTTCGTCAGTGAAGACAACCCTCACGTCACGTCTCCTGGCCACTGTCTGTCGACTAACCCTGTGACCTAAGGCATTTGTCGCCGATGACGTCACTGTCAGGAAGCGATTTCGGAGGTGCAAGGTACGCAAGTACCGGTCATCATGCAATATGGACGTGGGTGGCTCCCATCTGTACCATACCCAAGGCTCGTTCACGTTGTTCGAATGTGAGTCGTGGCATTTCTTATGTGTTTTTTTATCACTGTGGATGTCTGACTTGCCGTTGCAATCGTTTTACCCGCATGTGCATTTGCAGTTGTCCGTGGTGCACGTGTTTTTCACTTTTTCGCGTGTTATCTCGCAAACATGTAACAGGCGATTAACATTTTCTGCATACACTATTGTTGTATTTAGGTTATGTGTTTTAGAAAAAAAATTATACTTTGTCTGAAATTTATATTTTCAGTTGCTAAAGTTTCTTTGAAACTTGGACGTCAGTTTATATGAGTTGTTTAAATTTCAGAATTGATGGTGGTATGAATAATAAAATAAAACATGTTATTGACTACCTGTTCACACGACTATACGTTCACGTTTAGAAGGGACGCAAGGCAACCTGAAATAATAACTAGCCCGAGTGCTGATTACATTTAAGGACACACTCTAACAGCTTAAAATGCTGCTAGTTCCAGGAATACAACTGACTGACTAACCAAAACCTAACGCCCCAACACACAATTCCAAATGCAAGAGGAGTGGACAAGACAACCTCGACTTGTCATTTGGAGATTGATTCGGACCATGCATTGTCGTATAAACGAATGTTTGGCCAATCGTTGGGGGCATTGCCCATTATTTATCAAGTCATCGTCCATGTGTTACGACACACACCTTCTTGGTTGCTTGCGCCCTTACAATACACCGCCAACGTGCTCTGTTGATTGTCATGTTACACCCAGTCCTTCCTCTTTCCTATCCACCCTTTACCAACTCGGGTTAGTCGGTTAATTCTTGTGTATAAACGTCAATCTTAACTGTCTCTTTTAGCCAGAGGTTTGCAGTCTCCGTTGATCATAGTGGGCAGCCAGATCCCCTCGATGTAACGTCGTCAGTGTGTAAGCTCAGAGTAGACACTCAGCTACAACCAACCGTGCTTAACAACCCTGGCCGTCATCCATGACAGGGCTTCTTGAGGGTGAGGACATAAGCAGTCGCTTACGTAAACCCAGGGTCATCACTGTTACAGGGCATCGTGGGTGTGGGGTTTTGCATGTTGCTTTCGGTTCATTTGCTGATTCCGGTTATTTATCTGTGTTATTGTGACATATAGATTGGCCATGGCCGTTTACACGAGAGGTAACAGCTATGCGATTGGGGAACGGAAATGGACGTACCAATTGTAATAAGGTCAATGTTGATATATGCAACCGCTTGATTCTGGAGCCATTTAACATTTTCCTGCAATTGAAGGCGTGATGGTAAGGTAAATAAGATGCAAATGACAAAATCTAAAACAATAGAATTAATATTAATGGACCAGGTCCTCTTCACCGTCTAAGCCTGCTACCACCTTGAACAAAGACTCATCAGAAAGCCCTTATACAAGGGCAGTAGAGAGAGAGAGTAGAGTAGAAAAAGTGTCCTTTTCATCTGGAATTGCGGATGCAGTGTTCTGCCGACAAGTGTTCGGGTCTGGTTTTGGTTTGTGCACATCTATTGCAATGACGAATGCTAGGTTGGGGGTCAGGGCACCTGCCTTACCAAACCAGACCATACACCACCACCCACTAGATCAAATACCCCCAACCGTTAGTCGAGAACTTGCTGACCTGTACCCACTTGTACGACCTCACTAGACCAAATTCTGGCACCCGTTGTTTAAAATCCTCTATCCGTTTGTTAAGATCCCTTAAGTCGCCTCTTACGACAAGCATAGTCGCCTTTTCCGGTAAGCATGGGTTGCTGAAGACCTATTATATCCCGGATCTTCACGGGTACGTTTGTAAAGAACATGTTTTCATATAATGAGTCAGATTCGTACAGTGGTAAATTTCTCATGGTAATGGAAATAGTCTTTTGTTTACCTCTACTCACCCGTACGACCCCCACCGGGACATATTTACCTCTACAGGTTGGTTCAGTACACGCTTACCTCCCCTGGTTTGTCCAGAACATGCTAACCTCTCCAGGTTTGTCCAGAACATTCTTACCTCCACCCACTCGTACGACCCAACTAGACCAAATTCCTCCGCGTCCCAGCTGCAGAAAATGATAGATCGTCGAGGCTTCCATCCTGCACAATAGTTAAAATATTGCATTTATGTTACATCTGGAAGCAATATATGACAACACTACTATTTCAGGACATGAAGCTTGTCCACCAAAACAGTTTTTTTCAGGTACAAATGTTTGTTTTGTTTTAAGATTTGCAACGATGTGGAAAGAAAAAACAGGTGACAAGCTGACATTATAAAAATATTACAGGGTCCAATGCTTAATGGTTATGTTTTGAATGCAAGATCTATTAGAAGTTTGTGTCCAAATACATGTTCAACCCGCTCAGTGTGTGTGTGTGTGTGTCTATAACTCAACACGTATACTTAGTGTCTTTAACTAAAAGCAATAGTCTACCGCTTCGATATAGCATTTTAATGTACATTCTTATAAAACCAAAATATCCTTGTTGAATGAACAATATGATCACACAACAAATAGAAGGAGTACCATTTGTCACTTCCTGAGCGTAAACTCTTGACATTTCTAAAAGGGCAGCGGTTCCGGAAGATGGATCCGTTCCACCATACACATATGCATCTCTGTGATTACCAACCAGCACAACACGGTCTGGAAATATTAAATGAGTAATGTTAATTAAAGAATGTACGATAAATAAAAGCGACAAAACCATTTCGAAATTCATAAGAAATATCAGGAGAGTCGATTGAACGACTCTATCATGAGCATGTGTTTATGAATCACTAGACAAGTGAGCAATTGAATTGCCTTTGCATGTGTTTGTGACAGGTGCCATCGTTTGGGTAGGATACGCTCACGTTTTCGCGAACACTGGTATCATGTTTATTGATAATGATTCATACCCACATGTTCATGACATAGTCGGAATCGGTCAATCGACTATAAACGAAAGTATACACTTCTGGATTTGATCAGAACATTTCAAACGTTATCAAATTGTTACTAAGCTGAAACAGTCGCCAAAATACTGCACGTGCAAGATAAAACAAACCCAACTATACTCGTATCAAATACATCAAGATCGAATGGGCATTTGCTTTGTTTGAGTTGTAGCCACCATCAAATATGGGTGCACGTCAGTTTAATAGCCTTGCATTGCAAGATGTTTCAAATCACTGTAGGTTTCATGTAGATTTCAAATGCTGCTTCGACATTAATATGATGACACTCACCTTTTTCACGTGTTCCTTTCATTGTAGCCAGGACGTTGTAGATTGTAACCGTCTTGAGATGATTCCGCACATCCAGTCTGACACGTCTTGAAATACATTGAAAACCTCAGGTCATAACAATCATCGTTTTAGTTGACATTGGTTATGGTGTAAGTATATATTGCATTGAGAACCCGGACATCCTTACCATGTCTGTAGGTGAAGTACCTACTTGTCCTCCTTCATAGTCCCGCCAAGTCTGTAGATGATGTTGTGTGATACACTTACTTGCCATCCTTCATAGTCCCGCCAAGTCTGTAGATGATGTTGTGTGATACACTTACTTGCCATCCTTCATAGTCCCGCCAAGTCTGTGGGTGATGTTGAGTTATACACTTACTTGCCATCCTTCATAGTCCCGCCAAGTCTGTAGGTGATGTTGTGTTATACACTTACTTGCCATCCTTCATAGTCCCGCCAAGTCTGTAGGTGATGTTGTGTGATACACTTACTTGCCATCCTTCATAGTCCCGCCAAGTCTGTAGGGGATGTTGTGTGATACAATTTCTTACTTGCCATCCTTCATAGTCCCGCCAAGTCTGTAGGTGATGTTGAGTTATACACTTACTTGCCATCCTTCATAGTCCCGCCAAGTCTGTAGGTGATGTTGAGTAATACACTTACTATCCTTCATAGTCCCTCAAAGGCTGTAGGTGATGTTGTGTGATACACTTACTTGCCATCCTTCATAGTCCCGCCAAGCCTGTAGGTGATGTTGAGTAATACACTTACTTGCCATCCTTCATAGTCCCGCCAAGTCTGTAGGTGATGTTGAGTTATACACTTACTTGCCATCCTTCATAGTCCCGCCAAGTCTGTAGGTGATGTTGAGTGATACACTTACTTGCCATCCTTCATAGTCCCGCCAAGTCTGTAGGTGATGTTGTGTGATACAATTTCTTACTTGCCATCCTTCATAGTCCCGCCAAGTCTGTAGGTGATGTTGAGTTATACACTTACTTGCCATCCTTCATAGTCCCGCCAAGTCTGTAGGTGATGTTGAGTCCCCCCTGCCAGTCTGCTGGAGCTGTATCTCCCTGCATCTCCCTGGAAACGTGTAACACAGAATGAATAATAACTATGCATGCAGGTGCACTTTGACTTTTTTGAAGATGCACCAATAGTTTCATTTTCCTACCCCCCAAGTTGTTCAATTATAGGAACGTGTAGCTGAAGGTGTAAGTATACTGATTGTAGGTCCCAAGACTCACGATACAGCTACCAGCTTGTCGGTTATATAATCGCAGGTTACTTATGATGTGTAAGTGCGGGTGCTACCCGTGATGCAGGAAATGCTTGTCCTTTTTGTCCTTGCACCTTGTGTCATCACTGATTTTTAGTGATACATTCATATACATTTAACCGCTAGTTTGCCGTTTGCTCTAAAGGAATCAGTTTTGAATCTCTGGAGGTTTACATTATCAATTGTTGACAATGACAGCTTTCGTCGGCTTTGGAGATTTGAGTGTCATACGATTCTTTCTCAAAGGTTCTTTGAAATCTCTTGGATTTCCAATTTCTAAAGTTGACGTATGCTCTAACTGTTAATATAAAGTTAACAATTGACTTTCCTTTGCATGTGTTTATCATCGTTGCCACTCAAGGGGCGGGATATGTTCACATTTTCGCGAAAACCTGGCATCATCACTGTTTAATAGTGATTCATAAACATAATATGCTTATGATATAGTCGGAATCGCTAAATGAACTCAGTTCTTACATGGATAAGAGAAAGGGTAATTGTTTCTTCTACTTGAAGAGACAGGTGAAACTGGTACCTGAGCAGCATGTAGGCGTCGCTGTAGCCGATGGGGTGGCAGGGGATTTGGGGCAGCTTCATCTTTAGCTCCTGCTCATTCAGCCGTGCCGTGTACCCTGCGGGAAGTGATAATATAAAGACCAATTCTATTTTCGATTTTTTCACGAGACAGGAGGCATAATAAAAGCATTAATGTTTATAATGTTCACCTGAGGTTAATTTCCCAATAAACAAACACATAAATACTAAAACAAACACTTTAACAAACAAACTCCAGATGATATTTTTACATTTTCAAATAAGGAGAGCAATGAAACTGATTATTTTTTGCAGTTTAGGAAGACTCCGTCTAACATGATGTCTGGTGTATATCCAATTTTGATAAGTTCAATGTAGATATTGATATAACCTTTACCATGTATAGTTTTTCAGGATGTTCGCGATGTAAATTATGTCAGATGTGACGTATATTTTAGTTGTCATTTAAAACCGTGCGTCGTAATACACGCACTAAATATCTCTATATGTACACTGACAACACTTTGCTGCGTTTTATGATAACATTACCAATGTAATTCCATTGGGTAATAGTAAAGATCTTATGGCAATTGAAAGTTGGTGAGTTAGAATCTCCTCCCTGCAATCTCTACCAGATTCAGATACGAGATGCAAGTATGTACTTTTCAGTCGTGTAGCGTCAAAAACATCCTTCAGGGCATGGACAAACGTGTATGTTTTGTTATTTTTTATCAGTGTACATACTATCGTCGTCAACTTCTGCCTGACTTTATTTTATCGCTCACTGATGGTTTATTCATAACATAACAAACAGGCACGCAATAGTGCAATACTTTTATAGTCAAGAGCGCGACCTGAACTACACAAAACATAATGTCCCTCTCGAATGTTACTCATATCATAGTGCACCAGGAATAATTATTCTCATGAGTGACAATAGATATGATGTAGGAAGACATACATTTTGCAGGATATCCCGGTGTAGCCTGGTCGCCTTTAATCAGGACAATGTTCCCCCTTTGAACCCCTGTAGGGGGAAGCCACATGCTCTCAGGATAGAAGTTGTCTCCCTTGGCAAAATCACCCGGATCCATGAAGAGGATGATTCCAACGGCGCCATATTGATGAGCGAAGTATACCTATAAACCCTAAATGCTAAGAATCATTGCTTTACTGACATTTTGAAATATGAAAATATTATGCTGATCTAGATGTACAAAGATTTACAACTAAATGGTTCGTGGAACAATGTCACAAACTCACCTTATTCCCTCGAAATACTTTTCCATACCGAGCAATGACGATCTTCCCCGAAACATTCACACCTTGTCGGGTGAGGTTCTCGAAGTCAACATCTCGACCGTAGTTTACATACACTAGTTCAGCCTGAATGAGAAAGACATTTCCAGTAACAATACAACTCCGACGGACGCGCAAAGCTTATCTGTTATTCTTAAAACCAGGAAAAAAGAGATAACATATTTAAGTTTGCATTGAAGAACCTGGGAGATGACCTATGGATTCCAACTTGTATATTATTTCAGTGCAAATATAGCATTTGAACAGAAACGTCGCATTGAAAGAATAAAGACGTTGGAATCCACAAGTATATTATTGAGAATACGAAATATATTATTGAGTTAGTTTTAGTAAAAAAGTACAGTGAGAAGCAGTTACATATATTTATGTAGTGGGAGCTGACATAAACCTTAAGCCTGGTGCATTATTTTAGCATAAGGCGCTGTCAAGAAGGAGGACGATTTCAAGACAGTTGGTGTTTCATTATACAAGGGCCAATTGAAGACATATTTTGCACATTACTATATAAAAATATCCTGATGTTTTCAATCGTATCAAGGTTAAGACCAAAGCGAACACAGCATTTGTATTTTTTCTTGAAATTACCTGAATTACGTTATTGAAGGTGGGGTTTGTGTTTCACGTAAGGAACCTGTTCAAATTGTCAAATTTGTGCAACTTTATTTCAATAATATTATCTCCGATTTATTAATTTTAACTGAGTATACAATCAATTTTTTATCGGCAAATGACAACGCCCTGGTAAATTATGAATCATTTCAGTAAATTTGTTATGCAAACGTTAAACAGATACAAAAAAATGTTTTCGAGGTTATCATGTCAGTTGCAGAAATACGAACATTCGGGTTAATCTAACGTGTCATGTTATAAAACTTGCAGGAAACAAATAATGACTTACTCATATTCATCAATAATAATTTCAAGTGTTATGGTTCAAATATTGACGTTATACGAAAATACAAATCTCGTGTCGTGATGTTAGCAGACGTATGAAAATCAAACATGGTGCGCCTCTCTCGACTTCTGCACAACTTAAAGCTATTTTAATATGAACTAAGTTTACATTGCCTTAACATATAAGCCTTGGCGAAAGTTTACGATCTTCTCAATCGAAGAATGTTCAATTGTCGTTTTCCGTTTAATATGACGAGAGAAAAACAATATAAAGATCGTAAATTCTGGGAGCAATATTTCAGTAAGTGCAAAGGTCACCGGATGTGATGTCACAGACAGGGGTAGTCTGCTGATAATCTTTCGTAGCAAAACAATTACAGCAAATTTTAAAATATTTCGCGTCACATACAGAATAAACACAAATCACTACTTAGTATCAGTAATCATCATTACTATATAAATAACAATGTGACTTTGACTATATAGTCATATCATCCGTTTGACCTTGCCTGCTCCCGCGTCCCTGAAACGGTAGACGATGAATTAACACGCCACATGCAAGTTTCTAGGTATCTTTTATTTGAACTTTTGTTGATATATAAGGATCACCATTCGATGTTACGTTTAATAAAAAGGGATATCATTCATGTATCTGCGATGTACACGCTGGTGATTTTGTTTTCACTATAATAATTGTGTCCCATGCAAAACGTCGATTGATATCGTTGATCGGCAACGATCACCCTCCACAACAGGTGCGCAAAAATAGGCGTGACAAAACATGTTTCAAAATAGCATACATGAGTAGACGAATATGATATACACAAGTGCGTGATGTATATCTTAATAAAATACTACATACAAATTTTCATTGTAAGTTTCTAATTAAATGTGGAATAGTTTTCCTTTTATAATACATTTTTCGATTCTAGACGGATTTTAGAACAATTTTAGATGTCAAAACACGACAATTAACTTACGGTTTACCAATTTACTGGGCTCTGTTCAGTGACAAGAATGTATTTATTTACTTTCCTATCTGATCACAATCAATCAATTTGAGAGGTGCCAATGTGGACTGACTTCACTCAAGGACCACGTACATTTAGGTTAATTAGAGCTTGATTAAATGTTTTATCATATTTATTAATGTTCTGCACAATGTTTGCAATAAACATGACAAAATAATTAAAATATAATCATACAAAAGTAGTTTAGTTTTCTTTGGTACAAAATCACCAAGTACATTGGGCACAATTTTCTTTTGGGTACAAAATCGCATAGACCCTACATTCATCCAGTCGACTTGTACCTACTTTCATCCGTTCTGAAGGTTGGGGAGGCGAGTAAACGTTTTAAAAACAATCCTTAATATTCTAAATCGTCCTTCTTGCCATGATAGCCCAATGACAATTTTATGTTGTTATTATTATGAAATATCAATATGTTATATAGCTCTCGGCTACCGTCGTTTTCAGAAAATATTTTTAAAAACATCGAACGTGGAATCCATTACGGTTTCGGATTTAGTCTTACAAATTTGATGGCGGCAATCACGAAGACATGTTGAATAAATAGGAGTGAAGACTACTATCCAGATCAATAAATAGTTAACATTTGACGAAAAATAGAAAATTATGTATGTTCTTTTGAATTTGTATCTATTTCGGAATTTTTAGTTGATAGCTTATCAACGTTTGCATATTTTACTTCGATGTGTCACATGCGGAACTTGTTTCCGGTTTCAGAAATGATAGCTAAAATTGCAAGTATCTTGATTATTTTTCGTAAACTGCATTATTTTGCAATTGAATGGTTTACCAAGAATGTATAACAGTTCAGATTTTGCGTATCATCCAATATTTGTCATTATTTGCAGTATTTGTTGTTCAACAAAACAAATCGCGAGTCAGGCCACGTCCAAACGTGTCACTGACGTTGGTCGGCTTGTCAAAGATTTATACATCCGTGTCCATAATTCTCGATCATTAAGTTAGATGTATCAAAATGATTGTAATAGTCTTGCGGGATCACGGTGCATGTGGAGTTGTTTGTTTACCGCCGTTGCCATGATAGTACAAGTTCCGTCCAATCGATGATGTTACGATTCAGATTGTTTTTCTTTTGAATTATTTACACCGAAATTTGCTAATTTTAGAAATAAAAGAACTTGAGTGTTTTCTGTTCGCCAGCAAACATAAAATTATTATTGATTATGAAAAATGATAAAATGATAAAGAAAATATCGGACTGCATGCCGCTCAACGTGAAGTGCCAAAAGTCAACACTGGCCGTTTCTGGAAGTTGTGTGCCGAGAAATTTGGCCGATACTCTCTTAACTCGCGATGTTTTCTTTTTGAGGTAAATAAACTACTGAAAGTGTTGATATTTTGCAAGCTGAGCATTTATTCACACCACACGCAACTTAAATGATACGCAAAGCCTACTCGTTAAACAGTTTTAGCGAGTTTCATTTGTGGGTGTCCTTCGACTTTGTGCCCGTCGACTGGGTTCGACATTAGCGTTGACAGCTTTAAGGGAATGTAGAGTTGACATTCACTTCTGGTTTTACATAGTTTCTCTTATGTTCGAAAAGTCAGCATTTCCATTTCAGCTCTACTTGATCATGTCATGTAAGCCCAAAAAATGCAAATGAAGGAAATGTTAAAAGCTGGCTTTCTGTCAAGTGAAGATGCCCTCTATCTATCATAATAACACAATAAAACATTCAGATGTGTCATTTCCTATATAGACCAGTGGTTCCCGTTGTCAAAATGTGGACCAGGTCTGCTGGAGCTATAGCAAGGTGTATTCGGTATCGTTGGAAAGCTTGGAGTCCTTATTTTTTGTCAGACTTGACTAATCATGATATTTTGTAACGAGGGCTACTACCACAACTGCTACTACCACCACCACAACCACCACTACTACTACTACTACTACTACTACTACTACCACCACCACCACCACCACTACTACTACTACTACTAAATGGATACATCCACACTATGAAAACATATTTATTATGTGTTTATTAGTTTCGTGAATGTGTGTGCAATGCTCAATCGATCCAGTTTTTGAATGAAAACTGCAAATAACAAAGGTCTAGGTGGACATCCTTAAGAATGAGTGAGTTGGGTTTAACGCCGCTTTTGACATTATTCCAGTTATATCACGGCGTGTCAGCTTAATGTGGGAGGAAAGCCCGATGTGATGCAGGTCTCAAACGTTTACCACTTCGGTGAAACCCACGAGCACGGGTATGGTGCTGACAAACCAAGAAACATAATCGGGGCGAACCGGGAGTCGAACCCACAATCATAGGTTTCTGGCGTGCCCAGGGGACGCAACTCTGCACAGCGAATCGCGGCGTCTTAGACGACTAGGCCACCCTTGCCCCCTCAAATGTATGGGGGAGCTGGATATGAATTATGTCACCTCTGGTTGTCCACTGGGAGAGAAGCTGTTGTATGGTTGAACTGCTTCAGGGTGTGTCTCCTCGTCGAAGAAGGCGATTTCTCTCGGCGTTGACTGGAACAACACCCTTCCATCTGATGCAGTCAGGCTGGCCTTGGTGCATGTTAAAGTTTATTCAGTTACTTTGTTAACTTCGGAATTTTGATATTAATTACAGAAACGTTTTAGAAATCAATGTTGTTTCCTTCTAAAAATTCAATGAATGTTTTAATAATATGCAAGTTGTGTAAGTAACGGGCGCTGCCGGTAGGAGAGAACACCCGGTATCATCACTGATTTTCAGTGGTCCATTCATATAATTTTGAGAGCCGGATAATCAAGAATGGTTATTCTCTTGGGAGGACATTATATTTTTATGTTTACCGGGGAAGAGAGGCCATAGTAAACACACAGCAGCAAAACGGTATTACAGTACATATATACCACTGGTGAAAATATACCGTGTTGTTGTGGTTGTCATCCGGGTATGACAGCAATACGTCATACGGCACCGTCTGAACGTCATATCCTTGTTCGAGCCACTGATCCCTGACGTACTCTGCCGTACGGAAATTACCCGGCATGCCAGCCAGATGTGGACGCTGTGTCAACTCCCTTTAAATAATAATAATGATAATGGTAATGATAATGATGATGATGATAATAATAATAATAATAATGATGATGATGATGATGATGATGATAATAATAATAATAATAATAATAATAATAATAATAATAAGAGGAAGAATACATGTAGTTGCATATGTAGCTGATAAGGGCAGACCATACACACATATTAACAGCGATGCTGTTGAAAAGGAAAGTTTTATATAGACTGCACTTAGTTGTTTTTAGCATTCCGCCACTTTTAGCAATAAGCCAGCAATGTATCACAGCGGTGAACGCCAGGCCAATGTCTCACGAACTCTTGCTCAATCGTTGTTTTTTTAATCTGGGCTATATCATTGAAAAGCTTTCAAAATGTTTTGTGGTTGACATGTAGAGGACATTTCCAATTTTGACCAAACTGATGTCCGATGAAATCCCTTAATTTGACTTATGTCCGTGTTTTTTTAGGTGAACAGTTGACTTGCCTTTCCGTGTGTTTGTGACGGATGCCACGGGCACGTACACGCAGCCTTTCACGAACACATGGTATCATTACTGCTTGATTGTGATTTAGAAACACATTCTTATGATATAGTATATAACATGATATAGTCGGTATAGTACAATAAACTATATACTTCTATGACAATGGAAATGGTTTTGTTGCTTACATTTCAAATCAAATCCCACCGTCATTTAGCAGGAATATTGCTGAGTGCGGCGTTAAACAACAAACAATCAATTCAAATCAAATCTCAAAACACATCTATTAAAAAGAATGCAGTGTGAATAAACTCTTGTGTAGCGCTGTGGGCAACTGTCCAGAAGATGGATTAGCGCATGACAAGTGGACTATTATATAAATTATTGTTATTACTATAGTTATATTTCACACATTACGTTCTTGTACAGAATTGAATACGACATCCTTGACATGCCATTATATGTAACAGGAAGTGATAGCGTTAAATCTGAGTACTTACGTTTCCTTGTTTGTTGTTTAACGCCGCACTGAGCAATATTCCAGCTAAATGACGGCGGTCTGTAAAATAATCGAGTCTGGACCAGAGGATCCAGTGATTGACATCATGAGCATCGATCCACGCAATTGGGACACGATGACATGCAACATACAAGTGAGCGAGCCTGATCACCCGATCCCGTTAGTCGCCTCTTACGACAAGCATAGCCATTTTTGCGGCACGCATGGGTTGCTGAAGACCTATTCCACTTACTTGAGATGTGTGTCAATGTGTGAAGGGTCTACCCCGCTGATCAGTCTCTGGCTGACGCCAGGATCTGCTTCTTGTATCAACCGCCTGAGTTTCGCGTCTGTCGGGGATCTCGCTGGTGCATACACCCCGATCAACGCCCCGATAACGAAGGAGGACACGCCCACCAAGACAACCACGAGGACCCATCGCTGTAGAACGGATTTCATCTGTGGCTTTGTCTAAATAGGATTAATTCCACTCATTAAAATAATAATACAAAATAAATCTATGCCAAAATGTAAACAACTATTAATGTGTCGCTACGATATCGCTATGATATGAATATATTTAAAGTTTTGGCGTGAAATATGTACTTTCTATTCGGATTAAGAGTGAGTGAGTGAGTGAGTATGGTTTAACGCCGCTTTTAGCAATATTCCAGCAATATCACGGCGGGGGACACCAGAAATGGGCTTCACACATTGTACCCATGTCGGGAATCGAACCCGGGTCTCCGGCGTGATGAGCGAACGCTTTAACCACTAGGCTACCCGACCGCCCCTTATTCGGATTAAGAGATAAACATGCTGTTCTCAGTGGAGTTCGAGATCATCTGTATATAAACCACGCTTATTGAATTTGGAACCGAGCCCGAGAAATTTTAGGTGAACTCTTTTCATGTTCGTGAAAGTATTGGGCGAAGGGACATGCGTTGAGTCTTGTGGTTTTTGTGCTTTGTAGATTTGAATCAAGGTTACACTTTCCTTCGGAAACCAGAGAGTTTTATTGATGCTGCATTCTGTATGTAGTTAACACTAAGTGAATTGGAACATAAGTCCTAACATGCATTTCATTAAGTCGTAAAAGAGAGACCTTTTAATGAAGGATGAACATGACAGAAATCTAAAAGGTAAATAAAAAAGCGTCGACAGGGTGCCTTCAGGCATTTCTTAGAAGTTGACGGATGACAAAGTAGACACAATTTATGGATAATTGCTACTTCATTTTACTGTTATGGTGACGTTTCGGTTTAGGTCCTTACACCGTTGTCAAGCAAGGCTGAATAATGAACGTGGTATATGGTAGGTAAAGGATTAATAGTAACAACAATTGCATAGAGGTAAGACAAGTTCTATGGATGAACAACTTCTTTATTACAATTAGTGCGACGTTTCGGTGAAGATCCTAACACCTTTATCAAGCAATTGCATATATGAGAGAGATTAACATGGGTAGGTGAAGAGAAGAGAAGGATAATACTGTAACAACACGATGGACAGAGAACGAGAAGGGTAATACTGTAACAACATGATGGACAAAGAACGAGAAGGACAGAGAACGAGAATAATAATACTGTAACAACATGATGGACAAAGAACGAGAAGGATAATACTGTAACAACACGATGGATAGAGAACGAGAAGGATAATACTGTAACAACATGATGGACAGAGAACGAGAAGGGTAATACTGTACCAACACGATGGACAGAGAACGAGAAGGGTAATACTGTAACAACACGATGGACAGAGAACGAGAAGGGTAATACTGTAACAACACGATGGACAGATAACGAGAAGGATAATACTGTAACAACATGATGGACAGAGAACGAGAAGGGTAATACTGTAACAACACGATGGACAGAGAACGAGAAGGGTAATACTGTAACAACACGATGGGCAGAGAACGAGAAGGGTAATACTGTAACAACACGATGGACAGATAACGAGAATGATAATACTGTAACAACACGATGGACAGATAACGAGAAGGGTAATACTGTAACAACATGACTGACAGAGAACGAGAATGATAATACTGTAACAACATGATGGACAGAGAACGAGAAGGGTAGTACTGTAACAACACGATGGACAGAGAACGAGAAGGGTAATACTGTAACAACACGATGGACAGAGAACAGAAGGGTAATACTGTAACAACACGATGGACAGAGAACGAGAATGATAATACTGTAACAACACGATTGACAGAACGAGAAGGGTAATACTGTAACAACACGATGGACAGAGAACGAGAAGGGTAATACTGTAACAACATGATGGACAGAGAAGGGTAATACTGTAACAACACGATGGACAGAGAAGGGTAATACTGTAACAACACGATGGACAGAGAACGAGAAGGGTAATACTGTGACAACACGATGGACAGAGAACGAGAAGGGTAATACTGTAACAACATGATGGACAGAGAAGGGTAATACTGTAACAACACGATGGACAGAGAACGAGAAGGGTAATACTGTAACAACACGATGGACAGAGAACGAGAAGGGTAATACTGTAACAACACGATGGACAGATAACGAGAATGATAATACTGTAACAACACGATGGACAGATAACGAGAAGGGTAATACTGTAACAACATGACTGACAGAGAACGAGAATGATAATACTGTAACAACATGATGGACAGAGAACGAGAAGGGTAGTACTGTAACAACACGATGGACAGAGAACGAGAAGGGTAATACTGTAACAACACGATGGACAGAGAACAGAAGGGTAATACTGTAACAACACGATGGACAGAGAACGAGAATGATAATACTGTAACAACACGATTGACAGAACGAGAAGGGTAATACTGTAACAACACGATGGACAGAGAACGAGAAGGGTAATACTGTAACAACATGATGGACAGAGAAGGGTAATACTGTAACAACACGATGGACAGAGAAGGGTAATACTGTAACAACACGATGGACAGAGAACGAGAAGGGTAATACTGTGACAACACGATGGACAGAGAACGAGAAGGGTAATACTGTAACAACACGATGGACAGAGAACGAGAAGGGTAATACTGTAACAACACGATGGACAGAGAACGAGAAGGGTAATACTGTAACAACATGATGGACAGAGAACACATGATGAGGAAGCCAGCGATGAGTTGATTAATGCTTAATGAGTTCATAGTAGGGGGGTGGAATGAAATAGCCTTGATCACTGTTGATTGATGGATTGTGGTGGCGAATGTGGACTGCTTCTGTTTTAGTTTTCTTTTAGTTCAGTCACTAACAGAAGCAGTCCACATTCGCCGCCACAATCCATCAATCAACAGAGATCAAGGCTTGGTATCAATAAACTGTGTCTACGTTGGGTGCCTGTTGTCGAGTTATATTTCTGCATTTGATATCAAGCATACTAACATGCATCCATCATTTGAAACAAACACTTACAGTTGTATCTGCAAATATGTCCAGTTGCGTATTCCTGATCGTGAGATACGGAAACTTCCCCAATGACACTTCGCGCTATGTTCAGTGGCTCCTAAATAACGTTGACACAACTCGGGAGAGGAGATGAATTCAGTCCCACGAAAACCGCTCACTGTGCCAACCTGTGGGCGGGACTTACGCTTATAATAGCGGTTATTGAGAATACTTGTGGGGTTCCTCTCTGAGACTGCTACTGCTGCTACTACTGCTACTACTGCTGTTACCACCACAACTACTACTACTACCACAATTGCTGCTACTACTGCTGCCACTACTGCTGCTACAACTGCTGCTACTACTGCTGTTACCACTACCACCACTACTACTACTACTACTACTACTACTCCTACTACTACTACTACTACTACTACTACTACTTCTACCACTACTACTACAATTGCTGCTACAACTGCTGCTACTACTGCTGTTACCATCACCACCACTACTACTACTACTACTACTACTACTACAATTGCTGCTACAACTGCTGCTACTACTGCTGTTACCACTACCACCACCACTACTACTACTACTACTACTACTACTACTACTACTTCTACCACTACTACTACATTTGCTGCTACAACTGCTGCTACTACTGCTGTTACCACTATTACTGCTACTATTGCTGTTACTGTTGCTGTTACTACTACTATTGCTGCTACTACTGCTGTTACTGTTGCTGCTACTACTACCACTATTAGGACTGCTACTACTACTATTGTTACCACTACTACTACTGCTGCTGCTGCTACTACCACTGCTACTACGACTACTGCTGTTTCTACGTTGTTACTACTGCTACTACTACTGCTGCTACTTCTGCTGCCACTACTACTACGACTGCTATTACTACCACCACTAGTGCTACTACTACTACTACTACTACTATTACTTCTACTATTACTACTACTACTACTACTACTACTACTACTACTTCTACCACTACTACTACAATTGCTGCTACAACTGCTGCTACTACTGCTGTTACCACTACCACCACCACTACTACTACTACTACTACTACTACTACTACTACTACTACTACTACTCCTACTATTACTACTACTACTACCACTGCTATTACTACTACTACTTCTACCACTACTACTACATCTGCTGCTACAACTGCTGCTACTACTGCTGTTACCACTATTACTGCTACTATTGCTACTACTACTGCTGTTACCACTATTACTGCTACTATTGCTGCTACTACTGCTGTTACTACTACTATTGCTGCTACTACTATTGCTGCTACTACTGCTGTAACTGTTGCTGCTACTACTACCACTATTAGGACTGCTACTACTACTATTGTTACCACTACTACTACTGCTGCTGCTGCTACTACCACTGCTACTACTACTACTGCTGTTTCTACGTTGTTACTACTGCTACTACTACTGCTGCTACTTCTGCTGCCTCTACCACTACGACTGCTATTACTACCACCACTAGTGCTACTACTACTACTACTACTACTACTACTTCTACTATTACTACTACTACTACTACTACTACTATTGCTGCTACTACTGCTTCTCCTACTACTACTATTACGACTGCTATTACTGACACTTCTAGTGCTACTACAACTGTTACTACTACTGCTACTACCACTGCTGCTAGTACTGCTGCTACTACTGCTCCTGCTACTATAATTGCTACCTCTACTGTTACCACTGCTGCTACTATCAGTACTGTAAAAGCTGCTGCTATTGCTGTTGCTACTACTACCACCAGTCTGGTGCGAGGTTGGACCACTCGCCTGAGGCGCCGCAAAACGCTGTGCAGAGTTGCGGTCCTTATGCACGCTAAAAACCCGCGGTTGCGGGGTCGAATCCATGTTCATCCCGATTATGTTTCTAGGTTGTCAGCACCACATTAATAAGACTGACTGACTGACTCACTGACTGACTCACTGACTGACTCACTGACTCACTGACTCACTCACTCACTGACTCACTCACTCACTCACAAGTCATTGTTCATCCGCAGATCTAAAGTATGCCTCTCGGCTTAGCTCTTTTCAGAATTACTTTAAAGAGACAACAACTAAATATATTCATTGGAATGTGATGACACCCATAACTGGAAAATCAGGTCAACTTTTCATTTACAAAGATTATAAAAGCGACAAAACCCTTTTCATATTCACATGAAGTATCTGTTAAAAGACGAGTCCATTGTACGAGTCCGACTATATCGTGAGCGTGTGTTTCACTATCACTATCAAATAGTAATGATACCAGCGGGGGGCACGGGGGGCCCAGTCGTCTAAGACGCCGCGATTCGCTGTGCAGAGTTGCGTCCCTTAGGCACGCCAGAAACCTATGATTGTTGGTTCGAATCCCGGTTCGTCCCGATTATGTTTCTAGGTTTGTCAGCACCATACCCGTGCTCGTGGGTTTCACCGAAGAGGTAAACGTCAGAGACCTGCATCATTTCGGGCTTTCCTCCCACATTAAGCTGACACGCCGTGATATAACTGGAATACTGTTAAAAGCGGCGTTAAACCCAACTCACTCACTGATATGTTGCAAAAGGATAATCCATACATCTTGTCATATGATTCCCGTTTCCTGGATTGGAAGGTTTGGGTTTCAATACACGCCGCTGTGTGTCAGATTTATGTCAGAACAAAGCTCGAAGTGACGCAGGCAGTACACCTTTACGAGTGAGGAATTATATACATGAATATGTATAACCGACGTGCCAATAATAGTCACATCACGTCACTCACGCACTGATAATGAAACATTTTCTGGTACTAAAAAAAGGAGACCAGTGAGACAGACAAATCTGTTTCATATTTATAAATTAGATCTGTGCAAAAATACCAACAACTGACAAAACAGTCTCCACAAGGCCGTATGAGAAGAGTTATGACTTCAGCTTTCCCTTCATGTCGGGCAATTTTCCTGCAGCCCAAGCCCTTGGCGTCACCTTTCAGAGGTTTGAGGTACCAACGGGCTTGAACTTTTTACCTAGATTTGATAAACGTCATACGACTCCTGCTCAGAAGTTGTTTGATCAGCATTGAAGGCCTGATTGGCATCGAAGGCCTAGTAAAGATTTCAAGACGTTTCATAGTAGACATGTGGAGGACATTTTCAACTTTGACTCATCAGTAACTAAATGATTTCCAATGAATGTTTTTATTTTGGTTTGTACCATATGGTCCCGAGTTTTTATCAAGGTGACAATTGACTTACCCTTGCATGTGTTTGTGATGATGCCACCGCTTGGGCAGCATATACTCACCTTTTCGCGAACACCTGTTTAGTGAATCATCACTATTTGTTCCTAAACACATGCTCATAATATTGTCGGAATCGTATAATCGACGCTGTTTGGGGCAGATATTTCTTATGAATATGGAAATGGTTTTGTTGCTAAAAGGAAGAAAGTCTTTGACTCAACACCTTGATGCCTTGTAAAACATGCCAGGAGCTCAAGATCCCACAATCTCAACATCTTGTAAACATAAACATGAATACATAGCAGTTGCTATCCATAAGAAAGTATCATGTATTCCTGTTCTTCATACCTCTAAACGCCCATCAAAGAAAACGTAAACATGTTCATGAAAAGTGTAGAATGCTCATACGAAATAGGTGTTCATTGAATTTGGACCATTGCGTGCTCAAACCTCACCATGTAATCGCATCCGATATATATTGTGAATCAACTTTCGAAGGAACTCGAATAAAAATCTCAAGTTTTACCATTTAGAAACCTCCGTTCCGTTGCCATGGTAACAAATGTTCTCCGAGTCTATCATGAAATGGTCGGGGTTCCATAACACATATACAGATAGAGAACGAAATAAGACAATATCTACATTTCAACCAATCAGAAACATCCGTTCTGTCGCTATGGTATTAGGATAGTAAGAGAAATCAGGTTACTTTGCAGAGTATCGTAAGATATACCTTCCTTTGTTTGTTGTATAACGCCTCACTCAGCAATATTCAAGCTATGTGACGACGGTCTGACCCAGACAATCCAGTGATTGACATTATGAACATTGATCCACGCAATTGGGAGACCCTGACATGCAACAACCAATTGCAAGTCAGTGAGCCTGACCACCCGATCCCGTTAGTCGCCTCTAACACAAGCATAGTCGCCTTTTACGGCAAGCATGGGTTGCTGAAGACCTCTTCTACCCCGGATCTTCTCTAAGTGTGACAAGGAGTAAAGAGTGACGCTGATACATGTCTCTGAAGTGCAACAGCCCGAACAAGGTGACCTTGTCACAGCAATTAAGGTTCTGTCAGACCGAAGACTGACAGCTGACAATTCCTACCTAATTTGAAAAAATAACGTGACGTTTTTTACTGATGCTGCTTGTATCATTCATATTACGTAACCCATTCTTGTCCTACATTTCAGAGCTATTAAAAGTGTCGTGCAGACAGTATTTGTCATGAAGTTCTACAGCATGTCTATTGTGTAGCTGTCGACGCACTGTGGCCTACTTTATGTTTCATTAACAATGAGCCGATCAAACATTCTCATTGTCTCTGCAATGTATTATTAAAACATGCGAACATTGTTCACTCGAATCACTGCACGTAGCAACACCCCTGGCGCTTGGTGTTGGCGGTGGCGCCGCGATTCGCTGTGCAGAGTTCGAATCCCGGTTCGCCCGGATTATGTTTCTAGGTTTGTCAGCACCATACCCGTGCTCGTGGGTTTCACCAAAGTTGTAAACGTCTGTGACCTGCATCACTTCGGGCTTTCCTCCCACATTAAGCTGACACGCCGCGATATGACTGGAATACTGTTTAACTTAAACCCAACTCACTCATTCACTCTTAAGATAAACACAGTTCAAATACGGTAAAACCCTGGATCAGGATAATGAATGTTAATCAGTTTTTACAAATCACAAATTTTCACTTATTTAACACCAAAAATCCAAAACTTTAATGTGTAAGAATGAAACAAGGCTAGCTGACTTATTCTTAACTTATTTTTTTTAACAATTTGCGTGGTCCAAGAAAAGGGCCCTTATCCCTGCAGATTGTGTCCACATTGCCTGTGTGGACGTTGTTCTCTCTTAAAAGTGTCGATAAACTTTAAAATGTTCGGATGGCTGACAATGTTGCGCAACCCTTTAACATGGTTGGTGGTTCTTGGACCCATGGCACTTAAGTGGGGTTTTGTACCGAGATTAGATATTCTGTCAGCTACAGCTACAAAATACTTTTTCTAATATAAAACCATGAGCCTGATTGTTGTTAAAGAAAAACACCTTGACACAATGTATTTTTTATGTCTGTCAATTTCTTTTATTTTCAACGGTCTGAAGCAAAATCATTATTGTCAAAATATTTTGGGGACACTTTATTTTGTTCGATAAAATCCGAGCCCAAAATTATTGGCAGAACCGTACGCAACCAGTTGAGTGAGCACAATATCCGGCCCCGACGCCAAATTGTACTTCTACGTCACCGCTAGGTGTGGGTTTAAATTTGGTGTGGACAGCATCTGAGGTTCTTGGGACAAGACTGGGACAGTATACTGTCCACAGACGAGTCAAGGTTTCATATCGACTCTGATGGTCGTGCTAACGAACAAGGGAACGTTTCCGCGACGCATGCATATGACAAAATCAGAACAAGTTAATTTGGCCAAGAACTTGACTTAAATACTCTTCAGGTATATCAATGATCTGATATGTCCACTTGAACTAGAAATAATGGGGGGGCCAGTGAGACCGCCTCATCTGTTACATATTTAGATCTATGTATAAAGATTCAGAGTCTATCTATCTATCTATCTATCTATCTATCTATCTATCTATCTATCTATCTATCTATATATATATATATATATATATATATATATATACACTGACGCCCAAAAGAAACTTTACCAGAGTTTGAAATCACTCTTTCTCAAAAACAACAAAACATACATACATGAAGTAAAGTGTATTGAGAAGATCAATATATCAACATAATCAACATTGAAAATGACAATCATACCGCGACCGAGAATGACGTCAGAGCCCCCAAAAGTTAGGTGTGGTACAAAACTCGAGCTTTCAGAATCGTGGACAATAGGCAGAGTACATAAACAATCGCTCACGTTCAATAACAAGTCATTAGTAGCGTGTGTGACCAACAAATGCCTCAATACACGCAAAAACTCTTCGACGCACAGAAAAAGTCAGTCGTCTGATAAGGTCACGTGGGATTTGACGCCATTCGTCTTGGAGGCCCAAAATCAGTTCTTGCCGGTTGGCTGGAGAGTGTGGTCGTTGTCGAACACGACGATCCATCAAGTCCCAGAGGGGATCTATGGGGGACATGTCGGGTGAGCGTGCAGGCCACGGCAGGGCGTTGACGTTGTTGGCTGCGAGGAAGTTAGTGACAATTCTGGCTGTATGGGCTCTAGCGTTGTCATGCTGATAAATGACACCACGTGGCTGCTGTTGGAGAAATGGTAGGACAACTGGACGAAGAATGTTATCCATGTACCGCTGAGCTGTCAAGTTTCCGTCAACGATGACCAGCGGTGTCCTCTCCTGCCCACAGATCCCTCCCCACACCACGACACTCCCTCCACCATATGGTGCGACCTCCTGCACGCAACACGCCGCCGTTCGTTCACCGCTTCGGCGGTAAACACGTTGTCTTCCATCAGCCCTAAACATACAGAATCGACTTTCGTCAGTGAAGACAACCCTCTGCCAGTTACGTCGTTGCCAACGTCTTACAGTCCGGGTCCATCTCAATCGCAGACGACGATGTTGCGCTGTCAATAGCTGTCCTCTGTATGGTCTAAAAGCCCTGATTCCATGAGCCCTGAGTCTCCTGGCCACTCTCTGTCGACTAACCCTGTGACCTAAGGAAGGTTCGTGCAATATGGACTTGGGTGGCTCCCATCTGTACCATACCCAAGGCTCGTTCACGTTGTTCGAATGTGAGTCGTGGCATTTCTTTTGTGTTTTTTTTATCACTGTGGATGTCTGACTTGCCGTTGCAATCGTTTTATATCCTTACCCGCACGTGCATTTGCAGTTGTCCGTGGTGCACGTGTTTTTCACTTTTTCGCGTGATATCTCGCAAACATCTAACAGACGATTAACATTTTCTTGACTATTGTTGTATTTAGGTTATGTGTTTTAGATAGACTTCATCGTCAGTTTATATATCCCTATAAAAACAAGCTTGAGATAGTCGGTCTCGTACAATGGATGCATCTGTTAACAGATGTGTCTTTTGATTTTGGGAAAGGTTTTGTTGCTATATTTACATAGTGCAACACAGTAGCAGATATTGTGCTCAGCTGAAGCTTCAGGATCTTAGAACAGATTTACTGTAGCTGCTGTACCAACTGTACCTGCACATCTGTTGCCGTCCTGCATCATGTGGCAGAACATTCGTTTACCTCCGACCTCATATTGCAAATCCATCTCGTAGTTAATGAAGGGGCGGTCGGGTAGCCTAGTGGTTAAAGCGTTCGCTCGTCACGCCGAAGACCCGGGTTCGATTCCCGACATGGGTACAATGTGTGAAGCCCATTTCTGGTGTCCCCCGCCGTGATATTGCTAGAATATTGCTAAAAGCGGCGTAAAACCATACTCACTCACTCACTCACTCACTCGTAGTTAATGATCAACTCTGTTGTCACATATCCAGAGACCACGTGGTTCGAACATGTCCGTAATACTTACTGTCAAGGACTAGACCGCCGTGATATTGCTGGAATGTTGTTAAAAGTGGCGTCAAACCCAACTCACTCACTCGCTCACTCTAGAACTAGACTTGAAATGGGCCCGAACCCATGGACCATAACTCTCTGTTAAGCCATGACTATGTTGATAATGTGTCATGTTAATTTACCTCAAATGTATACTAATCCAAGGATAAATCATGGTAGGTGAAATTGAGTTTCCCTTTGTGTCTGCATTTTGTCCATCAGTCCAGCACGACAACATTCAATATTAAAAACACAGAGAACAGCTCATTTAATCATTGTGTGATTCAATATCTTCATTACAGTTTATTTGATTGGGAATTAGTCAAATATTGTCGACATATTAATATCGACTTTGATGATATCACAAGTTATGAATACTAACTAGCATTATTGTCCTATTGTATGCTCAAGTCATTTGATGACTCTGGTAAAACCACATGGGCATCACACATCAGGAATATCCTGTTTCAACATGGATTTGGTTTTATTTGGATAAATCAGGAATGCGGTGATAGCAAATTATTGATGATGATATTTAAACAGAGGATGTATGACTGTCTTTCTCAAAACTGGCATCTCTCCATAGAGCTCTCATCTAAATGCAAATATTACCCACAGTACAAATCTCTCCTTAATGTAGAAAAATTATCACGTGAAATCTTTGCTTATTATAAAAGATTAATATGTATGTTCAGGTGTAACAACTTTAAACTTGCAGTTGAAACTGGAAGACATTCAAAAATCCCATATGAAGAACGTGTGTGCGTGTATTGCCACTCCAAAGGTTTAACTCTAATTGAGGATGAGTATCATGTATTGTCAATCTGTGACAGATACCGAGCTGCAAGAAGAGAATGCTTTGCTGAAAGTGAAATCAACTTTACCACATTTCAACAGTTTTTAAACCTTATGTCAACAAACTCCACAAGAACTTTAAAACACATTGTACTATTCCTATCTAAAGTTATGAATATACGTAACTCATCACTGTTCTAACGTATTCTAAAACTATTTGTCTTAACATAACGCCATAGTATATAAGCATGTATGATCTACATTATGTCAACATGTATTATGGGCTGGAGGCCTGATTACTGAATAAATCTGTCTGTCTGTCTGACTAGCACTATAAGCTTGTAATCTGAATATATATGGAAATCGTCGACTTGGATTAAATTAATTCTAACTCATCAAGATGTGAGCTGCAGACTGTATGGTAAAGGTGAGGACAGACAGGTGGATTTTGACCTCCCGCCAGCGTGTAGCGTTGTGCCCGATCTGGTACAGGAGGTCAGCCAGCCCTGGGAACGTCGTCGTTTTGTAGTAGTTGGCGCTGCTGGGGGAGAGCAACACGTGCCTGGAACACAAGCAGGGGCAGACGTTGACATGACGTTACAATCAGAATATAAAAATGACAATGATCTATTGGAACACGGACAAAAACAGATGACTTCACAATCAGAACATAATGACAATGAATGAATGTTTGTTTGTTCGTTGTTTAACGACTCACTCAGCAATATTCCAGCTATATGACGGCGGTCTGTAAATAATCGAGTCTGGACCAGACAATCCAGTGATTGACATCATGAGCATCGATCCACGCAATTGGAATGCAATGACAAGCATCAACCAAGTCAACGAGTCTGACCACCCGATCCCGTTAGTCGCCTCTTACGACAAGCATAGTTGCCTTTTACGGCGAGCATTTGGTTGCTGAAGATCAATTCTAACCCGGCTCTTAACGGGTATAATGACAGTGACCTATGGGAACACGGACAAGAACATAACTTCACAATCAGAACATGACAACGGTTTATATGAACTAAAACAGTTATTGCGCAATGACGTAACAATCAGAACATAATGACAATGATCTATAGGAACACGGACAAGAACATAACTTCACAATCAGAACATGACAATGGTTTATATGAACTAAAAGAGATATTGCGGCAATGACGTAACAATCAGATCATAATGACAATGATCTATAGGAACACGGACCAGAACAGATGGACATGACATCACAGTCAGAACAAAAAAAGTTTAACAGGACGTCACAAGCTGAACAGGGATAATGAAATATAGGAACACAGGCAAGAACACTTATCATGGATATGACAATTGTGTCAATTCACCACAATCCCATTGCAATGCCATAACCCAGAACTCAGTCGTACACAACAATCTAATATTGTGTTTTGTTTCATCCTTGGTATTTCAGTTGTATGATCATAAAGGCAATAAATTTGTGTGAGAAAACTATGAATTGAAAATGTAATTACCAAGTTATATACGTTGTATCATTGTTCATTAGTTATTGTTGTCTCTGGGATATATATTATTACTTCGAGGGAGACCTTACCGAGAGTTAGCTTTCCAAATATAAATTTGATTGTTCATATTTAAGTTACTTAAATATATTTCCTATCGGTTTGGCAATGAAGCTGGATGTCCGCTGACGATCCGATCGAGCATCCGGTTTGGCATGATACGCTAACAGTGACATTAACGTGTTCTTCTCTCACTTTTACTTAATTGCCTAATAAAAGTCACATCGCATCACTCACGCACTGATACAGTGACATTTACGTGTTCTTCACTCACTTGTACTCTTTCCTGCTGGGGAGCCCTGTGTGGACTTGAAACGCCTTCTCTAGCGCCATCAGCTTGTCGTTGACACCACGGACAGCTATAGGGCTGAAACACGACAGATTATGTATGTCCCCCAGTTACCAATGTAGTTGTGTCACCTTAATCCCCTTGGGGTTGCGAGGGGAGAATGGGTGTCGCCAGTATGCCATGTTTGTCGATGACAGCTATAGGGGTGAAACACACAACCATATGTTTTGTTTGTTTGTTTGTTTGTTGTTTAACGCCGCACTCAGCAGTATTCCAGCTATAAGACGGCGGTCTGTAAAAAATCTAGGCGGGACCAGACAATCCAGTGATTGACATCATGAACATCGATCTACGCAAATGGGATACGATGACATGCGTCAACCAAGTCAGCAAGCCTGACCGCCCGATTCCGTTAGTCACCTTTCACGGCAAGCACTGGTTGCTGAAGACCTATTCTACCCTGGATCTTCACGGGTCCACAACCATATGTATGCCCCCATTTACTGATGGAGTTTTGTCATCTTAACCACCTTGGGGGTTCCAGGGAAGAATGAATTACCACGTGCACGTTCTCATGTATGTTGTTGACAGCTTGAGGGGTAGAGAAACATAATGATAATACATGTCCCCGGTTACATAATGACGTCAGTCACATTACCCCGAGTAGTGATTCTCGGGAAGAACGGGTACCCCATGTTTGTCGTTCAAACATATAGAGCTGGAAACAGAAAATGTCCCCGATTTACTAATGTTGCTAAACTGCCAGGCAAAATGGTGGCAACAAATGAAGCAATCAAGAAATGGTTATTCAGTGGTGATGTATTTGATACGGGTATCATGGTTGTGTTTTGAACCTGAAATGTGCCGTGTTTCGGCGACTGTTTTCAGACCGGAAACGATGATGAAATGATTTGGTTAAATCCCATGTTCATGTGTATACTTTCTTTTGCCCGACGGTTAAGTTCAGGAATTTTAACCCGTGTGGGATTCCGAAAAAGAATGAGTTGCCAGTACCCCTCGTTACCGACCCTACAGGTAGAGTTGAGGGGAATTTGGGTTTAACGTCGCGTCCAAGATTATTGCACTTTTATAGCGACGTGCATGTAGTGTGTGTGTGTGTGTGTGTGTGTGTGTGTGTGTGTCTGTTTGTACTTGTCCGGACTGATGCCGATTTATAGTGCCAGCCAAATGAGATACCATGCCGCAGGTTAACATGAATACCCCACTCAGACACAGTATACTGACTCCGAGCCAACCAGTCCTTGTTTTAGCCTCTTAATGCCGAGCACCAGACTGGGTAACAGCAAGTACCATCTTTTAACGTCGTTTGGTATGACGCGCGGCCGGCAATCAAACCCCGGACCTTCCGCTCTCCGGGCGGACGCTCTACCACCAGACCACGGAACCACCCAGGACATTAGTAACATTAATAGTGATGAACCCAATGGTTTCGAGCTTTGGTTTTGTCGTGTTGACTTGACATATCTACATATGCAAAATATAGAGTTTAAGTAGGTACAGAGCGGAAAAGAATAGCCAATACACACTTTTTTATGTCGACGTCTCCCAATCTTGTATTAAAGTCATTTGCAGCTTTGGTAAAATTGTCGGCCGCCGACTGTATAGCATCTGGTGAAGAAGATAAACGTGGTATTGTATTTGTTTGTTTGTTTGTTGTTTAACGTCGCACTCAGCAATACTCTAGCTATATAACGGCGGTCTGTAGAATATCGAGTCTGGACCAGACAGTCCAGTGATTGACATTAGCATCGATCTACACAATTGGGATACGATGACATGCATCAATCAAGTCAGTGAGTCTGACCACCTCATCCCGTCAGTCGCCTCTTACGACAAGCATTGATTGCTGAAGACCCTGATCTTCACGGGTCCTGGTATTGTGTTATATGAGGTTGCCTTCTCATGGACTGTATAAAATAACAAAACGTTTCTCGGAATATTAATTTTCAAATTGATGATGGCGGAATGACGTTTTTTATTGAAAACAAAATTAGGGAGGAAGGTCAACTTTAGATGATGAAGGTATTACTGTATCACAGGAACCTCTGTCGCTGAAACTTTGTTTGTGAAACATGAATTGTGTTTTGATTCATTATTTGGAAACAAAATAAACAGAATCATGTGTTTGGGTTTGTTTCGCCGAGTTCCATTCGTACTAACCTGAACTTATGTTCCGTTGTGCAAAACTGTCTCTCTGATTTTCAACCAGACCTTTCACAAACCCATCAACGGCTGATGCGTAATCTCGCACGTCCATTGGTATTATCAGAGAATCTACGAGATCCCGTGCCAACTCGATGAAGATCGCGGCGACTGCGGCACTTGCTTTGAGTTGTGGATCCATCATCTTCACATAGCGGTAGCCGTCGTACAGGGTGTGGTACAAGGGGTACCCGGCTCTATGGATTCTGTCGCCCAGGTCCTGAAAATGGAATATATCGCCAGTTTCATAGACTGTCATTGTCAAGGGTGCGGTTTCATAAATCAGTCTTAGCACTGTGACTGTCTTAACTCCCATACTTTGTTTGTATACTGAGGCCGCTTTATCTAACGGGACATTGGTGGATGTTCAAACACTTAAAATGCATAAAAATAGTTTTAACTTACTGTAACTTAAATGAAGCCACACTCGCGAGTATGTGGACTGAAACGAGGACCTCAAATGTAAAAAATGTGATGGCCATCACATGGCCTCTTCAAAGTCATGTCCTATTTGGATTCAAGAAATTAAAAGCTCAAAAATGAAGGAAAACTGGTCGCTAGTCTCTCGTTCTACTGAAACCATTTCTATTACGTGTCAGACAGACCTGACGTTGGTTCACTCAGATCAACCCCATATGACAACCACGAATCACCCAAAACACATCCACGTCAACGTCTGAAACTGTTGTTCAACCTAAGCTAACAGTTAGTCTATGGTTCAACCTGCCAGTCAGCCTGACAAGTCAATTTAATGCAACAACAGTAAAAACAACTGTTCAATCAGTTCACCTAATCCAATGGGATTGTAGAGGACTCAGAAATAAATTTAATGACATTTAGTTATTGATACACAATTTTCAACCGCCTGCTTTATGTCTTCAAGAAACAGACCTTAAACGTTGAGATAAATTTGATATTAGGCATAACAATTGTCATCATTCATATTCCCCCCTTCCCACCCCCCCACATAAAGCTACAGGAGGGTCTTCTATCCTGGTGAGACAGGCTGTGATTCACAGCCCTCTTACTCTCAATACAAATCTTCAAGCTGTTGCTGTTCGTTTGACTTTGGATATTGTCTTTACTCTATATTTTCCTCCGTCAACAAAAAATCGACAATCTGATCTTGAAAATCTGTATGATCAGTTCCCTAAGCGATGTATCACCATGGGTGATCTAAATAGGCACAACCTCTATGGGGAAGAATGACCACAAACACTAAAGGTAAAGTATACTAGTCACATAAAGAAACTGTGCACAGAGAAAATATAGATATAAGGGCACACCGTCCATATATGAAATATAGGTTTGAACACAGCAACTATTGGAGACATTCAAACGCTCATGCACGTGCCATGCGATATGACGTCATTGATGGGGGCCTATGGACGTGCAATGTGTTACTGCACGTGCACCCTGTGCAGCTGTACACAGCATGTGCAACTCAAAATTCGCTGTCACTTTGGAAAGCATGATCTGTGGTCATTCAAAAATTCAAAACTTCTCAGGCGCAGACATAAGCATATCACAAGCAAATCATGCTAAGATTGACAGCTGCACAGCGTCATGAAGCCATTGGAACGATCCGAGCCGGAATGAGGCAACAACAGGTGACAACACATTTCCAATGCCATCGTAACACGATATCGACATTGGTGAGGCGTTATCAGAACACAAATGACGTTGCCGACCACCCACGTTCAGGACGTCCCCGAGTAACGACGCCAAGACAGGACAGATGGGTCCCTTTTCGTTGATAACTTTTATATATCTTGTCGTGGTAACACACTATTGAGAGACATCCACACTTAGGTGTTCAGTGCCTACTTATATCCCCACTCACCACATCTCTATAGGAGGAGGAGGCTGTGGGGATGGCCACATCCTGCTCAAACGGCACAAAGTCACTCCCTGCCCCTGGTAGGCCGACGCTGAAACAAATTAGTGTGCCGCGATCATATCAGGTGCGTGTGTGTATGTGTGTCTGTGCGAGCGTGTGCGTCTCTGTGTGTGTTTATTAGGGTGTCTTTGTTGACGTGTGTACGTTTGCGTGTATGCGTGTGTTGAGGGTATGTGTGTTGACGAGAGTACGTCTGTGTGTGTTGATGAGGGTGTGATTGTTGACAAGGGAACGAAAGTGTGTGTGTGATGATGATTGTATGGAGGGTACGAGGATAAAAGGGTAGGTGTGTGTGTTTATTAGAGTGTCTTTGTTGACGAGTGCGCGTGTGTGTGTGTGTGTGCGTGTGCTGAGGGTATGTGTGTTGACGAGAGTACGTCTGTGTGTGTTGATGAGGGTGATTGTTTTGTCGTATGTACGTGTGTGTATGTGTGTGTTAACGTGGGTACGTGTGTGTTGACGAGGGCACCAAACTGTTTGCGTGTTGATGATGGTATAGATGTTGACGAGTGCACGTGTGTGTGTTGATGATGGTGTGTGTGTTGACGAGTGTACGTGTGTATATTGAAGATGGTGTGTGTGTTGACGAGATAACTTGTGTGTGTTGATGAGGGTGTGGATATTGACGAGAGAACGCGTGTGTGTTGATGAGGGTGTGGATATTGACGAGAGAACGCGTGTGTGTTGATGAGGGTGTGGATATTGACGAGAGAACGCGTGTGTGTTGATGAGGGTGTTGATGTTGACGAGAGAACTTGTGTGTGTTGATGAGGGTGTTGATGTTGACGAGAGAACTTGTGTGTGTTGATGAGGGTGTGGATATTGACGAGAGAACGCGTGTGTGTTGATGAGGGTGTTGATGTTGACGAGTGAACTTGTGTGTGTTGATGAGGGTGTGGATATTGACGAGAGAACGCGTGTGTGTTGATGAGGGTGTTGATGTTGACGAGTGAACTTGTGTGTGTTGATGAGGGTGTGGATATTGACGAGAGAACGCGTGTGTGTTGATGAGGGTGTTGATGTTGACGAGGGAACTTGTGTGTGTTGATGAGGGTGTTGATGTTGACGAGAGAACGCATGTGTGTTGATGAGGGTGTGTATGTTGACGAGTGAACTTGTGTGTGTTGATGAGGGTGTGGATATTGACGAGAGAACTTGTGTGTGTTGATGAGGGTGTGGATATTGACGAGATAACTTGTGTGTGTTGATGAGGGTGTGGATGTTGACGAGTGAACTTGTGTGTGTTGATGAGGGTGTGGATGTTGACGAGTGAACATGTGTGTGTTGATGAGGGTGTTGATGTTGACGAGAGAACTTGTGTGTGTTGATGAGGGTGTGTATGTTGACGAGAGAACTTGTGTGTGTTGATGAGGGTGTGGATATTGACGAGATAACTTGTGTGTGTTGATGAGGGTGTGGATATTGACGAGATAACTTGTGTGTGTTGATGAGGGTGTGGATGTTGACGAGTGAACTTGTGTGTGTTGATGAGGGTGTGGATGTTGACGAGTGAACATGTGTGTGTTGATGAGGGTGTTGATGTTGACGAGAGAACTTGTGTGTGTTGATGAGGGTGTGTATGTTGACGAGAGAACGCGTTGGTGTTGATGAGGGTGTGGATATTGACGAGAGAACTTGTGTGTGTTGATGAGGGTGTGGATATTGACGAGAGAACTTGTGTGTGTTGATGAGGGTGTGGATGTTGACGAGAGAACTTGTGCGTGTTGATGAGGGTGTGGATATTGACGAGAGAACTTGTGTGTTGATGAGGGTGTGGATGTTGACGAGAGAACGCATGTGTGTTGATGAGGGTGTGGATGTTGACGAGAGAACGCATGTGTGTTGATGAGGGTGTGGATGTTGACGAGGGAACGTGTGTGCGTTAATGAGGGTGTGGATGTTGACGAGGGAACTTGTGTGTGTTGATGAGGGTGTGGATGTTGACGAGTGCACGTGTGTGCGTTAATGAGGGCATCTTCATGTAAGTCTGAGTTTTACAAAGGTGAGAGTAGTAGACGTATGGGGGAGCAGTATATGCCTGTGATTTTCACACATTGTCACCCACCTCGGGTAGTCGGCGTTCTGTGTGTCAGGTGAGCGTTCTCGCCACACCTCGAACAGACTCCTGCCGTCCTGGTGCGGGTCGGGGACCTGATTCGAGAGGACCAAGTATTTGTTCAGTAACATTATCAAGAATGAGTGAGTTGGGTTTAACGCCGCTTTGAACATTATTCCAGTTATATCACGGCGTGTCAGATTAATGTGGGAGGAAAGCCCGAAATGATGCAGGTCTCAGACGTTTACCACTTCGGTGAAACCCACGAGCACGGGTATGGTGCTGACAAACCTAGAAACATAATCGGGGCGAACCGGGACTGGAACCCACAATCATAGGTTTCTGGCGTGCCCAGGGGACGCAACTCTGCTCAGCGAATTGCGGCGCCTTAGACGACTGGGCCACCCGTGCCCACAATTATCAAGAAGCTGTTTCTCAGCCTGGATAGGCTTAATATATGACACACTTGAAACATGTCGTGTGAGATAATTTGGCTCACACTAGCAATACAACTGATTGAACCAAACAAGTTGACGGTTTTCTGATTGGTTTATCGCAACGATAACACTATCCATTATAAGATACATGGGTAACACACACAGACCTTTCTCGCAGCTCTGTATACAGCCTGCTTCAACGTTGGTGTAGCGGCCACATTTATTGTATAGTTGCCTGAAGAGAGGGAGGGAGAGACTGTGAGTTGGAATAGCGACAGTTTTACCACGAAGTGATGCAAATTGATGATGATGCTGGACAATCAAGGGTTATAATCAGACCGACCAGCGGATGCTGGCATGGCGAAGGGACGCAACTCACAGCAAATTAAAATTATACATATATATGTCAAAAGAACAGACCAGCGTGTTTCGACGTCCTAGCACACCGTGCCAACCGTGCTGTCACCAAAAGAGTGAGTGAGTGAGTGAGTGAGTTTGGTTTTACGCCGCTTTTAGCAATGTTCCAGCAATATCACGGCGGGGGACACCAGAAATGGGCTTCACACATTGTACCCATGTCGGGAATCAAACCCTGGTCTTCAGCGTGACGAGCGAACGCTTTAACCACTGGGCTATCCGACCGCCCCGTCACCAAAAGAACGTAGATGCCGTGTCCGACTCTTTCATGGCTATTCTGGATTTGCTTGATTTGTCGTCTACTTAATTATTACTTAGGAAAGGAAATATTTGTTGATTGTTTTCGTGAATGTATTACAATATGTTTTCTTGGTAATATAATCATCGAGGAAGATTTTACCCATATGTCTCAAACGTTATCTAAGTAGTTGAAATTTCAAACAAAGAATGGTTACTGTGCAGTTGTAAATACAGTGCATCGTAAACGTCATGGGATGTAATTACCTGGATCACCGCTTCCATTTTACAAATTGTTTGATAAGATTATGTATTTCAATTATGTTAATGATTTTATGTTTTGACTCAATTTATAGATGATATTTTCCAACAACGTCGTCTCCGGGTTTTAAAAAAAAGTATCCCAAATAAAAAAACGCCACATTTTATTAACATTATATGTCTCTTCATTGGACAAGTATTTCACTACTGCCTGATTTAATAAATCTGATGGGAGAGTTCTAATAAGAAATAAAGAACTATTGGTAAAGACATTAATTCCAAAGGAAAATAAATTTGAAAGACAAAGATGAACATATTTTCCTTTATCCACTGGCATCCTTTTGAGATGTTTAAATCTCACGACAGTTGTTGGCCTCTTGACCAAAGTTCCATTACTGAGTGTTTAGTCTTCATGCTTCTCCATATCAGTAGAATGTGAGGTGTGAGTGAGTGAGTATGGTTTTACGCCGCTTTTAGCAACATTCCAGCAATATCACGGCGGTGGACATCCGAAATTGGCTTCACACATTGTACCCATGTCGGGAATCGAACCCGGGTCTTCTCCGTGACGAGTGAACGCATCAACCACTAGGCTACCCGACCGCTCCAGTAGAATGGTAGTGTAAGCGGTGTTGATCATGTGCTATGATCAATCAATGATATCAGTAAGCTACCATACGGTACCTACGATAATGATTTACAGTGTGAAATGTCAAAATGAAATTACGACAAAGACCAAACACACTCACACTCGTTTTCTAATATCGTTATGTTACACAGACGACGTTACTAATGTATCATTATTTATAATGCACAAAGTTGTATTAGCTGTAGTGAAAGAAGCATGGTTTGCATCGTGTCATGATACCAATAGTGTGACGTCATCTTCTGATGTGACGTCATTGTCTACTGTATCGTCATTATGTATTACGTCAACAAAATTAGAATATTTAATCAAGAAGGTTGTAGGGCGCGTAAAACCATTATAACAGGTGCTCTTTGTTTAGAGATTAAATCGTTAACCCTAAACCATCAATGTATTACCTGATGTGGTTAAGTCGATGTTGAGATACGCCACGGCCTGATGTGCTAGCCATTTAACGTTCTCCTGTAACAAAGAACGACTATACAGCAAGGTGAACGTAGTGGACAGGACTCTGAATACAGTCCCATTTCATTTGCACATTTATTATACTTACACACGACTATTCAAACTTAGCAAAATCGTTCGAAAATAGTAATTTATGTACAAACACATAGGTCCTTCAACGCCTAAACGACGATTGTGAGACGAGAGTGAATATTGTTTTGAAATAACAGTAACTCTTTAAATCAGACAAATCTAATCGGGGCAGTTGTCCAGAACATACTTACTTCTCCAGGTGTGTTCAGAACATGCTTACCTCCCAAGGTGTGTTCAGAACATGCTTACCTCTCCAGGTATGTTCAGAACATGCTTACCTCTCCAGGTATGTTCAGAACATGCTTACCTCTCCAGGTATGTTCAGAACATTCTTACCTCTCCAGGTGTGTTCAGAACATGCTTACCTCTCCAGGTGTGTTCAGAACATGCTTACCTCTCCAGGTGTGTTCAGATCATACTTACCTATCGAGGTGTGTTCAGAACATGCTTACTTCTCCAGGTATGTTCAGAACATGCTTACCTCTTCAGGTGTGTTCTGAACATACTTACCTATCGAGGTGTGTTCAGAACATGCTTACCTCTCCGGGTGAGTTCAGATCATACTTACCTATCGAGGTGTGTTCAGAACATGCTTACCTCTCCAGGTGTGTTCAGATCATACTTACCTATCGAGGTGTGTTCAGAACATGCTTACTTCTCCAGGTATGTTCAGAACATGCTTACCTCTTCAGGTGTGTTCTGAACATACTTACCTCTCCAGGTGTGTTCAGATCATGCTTACCTATCGAGGTGTGTTCAGAACATGCTTACCTATCGAGGTGTGTTCAGAACATGCTTACCTATCGAGGTGTGTTCAGAACATGCTTACCTCCCAAGGTGTGTTCAGAACATGCTTACCTCCCAAGGTGTGTTCAGAACATACTTACCTCTCCAGGTGTGTTCAGAACATACTTACCTCCTCAGGTGTGTTCAGAACATGCTTACCTCCTCAGGTGTGTTCAGAACATACTTACCTCTCCAGGTGTGTTCAGAACATACTTACCTCTCCAGGTGTGTTCTGAACATACTTACCTCTCCAGGTGTTCAGAACATGCTAACCTCCTCAGGTGTGTTCTGAACATACTTACTTCTCCAGGTGTGTTCAGAACATACTTACCTCCTCAGGTGTGTTCAGAACATGCTAACCTCCTCAGGTGTGTTCAGAACATGCTTACCCCCCCAGGTGTGTTCAGAACATACTAACCTCCTCAGGTGTGTTCAGAACATGCTTACTTCTCCAGGTGTGTTCAGAACATACTTACCTCCTCAGGTGTGTTCAGAACATGCTAACCTCCTCAGGTGTGTTCAGAACATGCTAACCTCCTCAGGTGTGTTCAGAATATGCTTACCTCCTCAGGTGTGTTCAGAATATGCTTACCTCTCCAGGTGTGATCAGAATATGCTTACCTCCTCAGGTGTGTTCAGAACATGCTAACCTCCTCAGGTGTGTTCAGAATATGCTTACCTCTCCAGGTGTGTTCAGAACATGCTAACCTCCTCAGGTGTGTTCAGAATATGCTTACCTCTCCAGGTGTGTTCAGAACATGCTTACCTCCTCAGGTGTGTTCAGAACATACTAACCTCCTCAGGTGTGTTCAGAACATGCTTACCTCCTCAGGTGTGTTCAGAACATGCTTACCTCTCCAGGTGTGTTCAGAACATACTAACCTCCTCAGGTGTGTTCAGAACATGCTTACCTCTCCAGGTGTGTTCAGAACATGCTTACCTCTCCAGGTGTGTTAAGAACATACTTACCTCTCCAGGTGTGTTAAGAACAGACTTACCTCTCAAGGTATGTTCAGAACATGCTTACCTCTCCAGGTGTTTTCAGAACATACTTACTTCTCCAGGTGTGTTAAGAACATACTTACCTCTCAAGGTATGTTCAGAACATGCTTACTTCTCCAGGTGTTTTCAGAACATACTAACCTCCTCAGGTGTGTTCAGAACATACTTACCTCTCAAGGTGTGTTCAGAACATACTTACCTCTCCAGGTGTGTTAAGAACATACTTACCTCTCAAGGTATGTTCAGAACATGCTTACCTCTCCAGGTGTGTTCAGAACATGCTTATCTCCCCAGGTGTGTTCAGAACATGCTTACCTCTCCAGGTGTGTTCTGAACATACTTACCTCTCCAGGTGTGTTAAGAACATACTTACTTCTCCAGGTGTGTTCTGAACATACTTACCTCTCCAGGTGTGTTAAGAACATACTTACTTCTCCAGGTGTTTTCAGAACATACTTACCTCTCCATGTGTGTTCAGAGCATACTTACTTCTCCAGGTGTGTTCAGAACATACTTACCTCCACCCACTCGTACGACCCAACAAGACCAAACTCCTCCGCGTCCCAACTGCAGAAAATGACAGATCGCCGAGGCTCCCAGCCTGTGAGAGAATGGAAAATCGTCACTTATAAACCAATCACATAAAAAGTCTCGACCATGACATTTCACAACATTGTATTCATGAAAAGAAATGGTAAGCATCTCCACACGTGAACATAATTGCAAACAACATGTCCCGGATATCAGAGTTGGAGTGCACAGAACTGTAGGACGAGAACATGACGTTTCATAGTTTTGTTCACCATTGGCCCAAGTACATTGTACATTTCTTGCATAAATCAACAGCTGAAATTAAACCACCATTAGGAGAAAAATACGGATTTTAGTTTTAGTTTTGTTTCAAATCATATATATACAATCTGAATATGTTAAATAATGATGACAGTACCATCTTGCACGTGTTTAGCGTAAACTCTAGACATCTCCAACACTGTAGCGCTTCCAGAAGATGGGTCCGTTCCTCCGTACACCCAGGCGTCTCTATGGTTACCAATAAGCACCACTCGGTCTGGAAATATCAAGGAGGTTTTTTTCAGGAAGTGTAAGTGTGATCAAGGAACATATCAGGACAAAAATATCTGTGACGATAAAGACATTCTGATTTGGTTTTGCTTGTTTATTCGTTTGTTATTTAACGCCGAACTGGGCAATATTCCAACTATATGACGGCGGTCTGTAAATAATCGAGTCTGGACCAAACAATCCAGTGACTGACACCATTAGCATCGATCCACGCAATTGGGACCGATAACATGCATCAACCAAGTCAGCGAGCCTGACCATCCGATCCCGTTAGTCGCTTCTTACGACAAGCATAGTCGCCTTTTACGGCAGGCATGGACCTATTCTTCACCAGTCTCACGGATTTGATAATAGGTTGAATAACTGTAACGGGGTCAACGCATATATGCAGCGTATGCTTTCTCGTTGCAAGCAGTTAAGCAAGTTAATATTATTTTTGAAATTTAATAACAATATGGTATGTATTCATAAAACTATTCTTCTACATACACACCTTTACATGTATCAAATACGCCAACGATGTGAGCGGTCATTACCTTGTTCCCGTGTCAACCATAGAAATCTATTAGTTTCTATTGCCCTTACAAAATCTAGTCGGTAAGTTGCCTAACAGGCCTAATTTAAAAAAGATCAAATGAGAATGTATATCAGTGTTGCGCCGACAGTTGGTTATTTGATGTTGTTGTCAGTATGACATCATAAAACTGAAGCATCAAATATTCACAGCACCTGACGACACTTCTTAAGACGTTCAAAGAGAATCCTCTCTCAATTAATTCATGACACATAGGGCATATACTTAATGCTTTCATTACTCTACACAGTGCGTATGCACGGCTCTTAATGATTTCTTTACTTTACACGGTGCATATGCACGGCTCTTAATGATTTCTTTACTTTACACGGTGCATATGCACGGCTCTTAATGATTTCTTTACTTTACACGATGCATATGCACGGCTCTTAATGCTTTCATTACTCTACACGATGCATATACACGGCTCTTAATGATTTCTTTACTCTACACGGTGCATATGCACGGCTCTTAATGCTTTCTTTACTTTACACGGTGCATATGCACGGCTCTTAATGCTTTCTTTACTTTACACGGTGCATATGCACGGCTCTTAATGATTTCTTTACTCTACACGATGCATATGCACGGCTCTTAATGCTTTCATTACTCTACACGATGCATATGCACGGCTCTTAATGATTTCTTTACTCTACACCGTGAATATGCACGGCTCTTAATGCTTTCATTACTTAACACGGTGCATATGCACGGCTCTTAATGATTTCTTTACTCTACACGATGCATATGCACGGCTCTTAATGCTTTCATTACTCTACACGATGCATATGCACGGCTCTTAATGCTTTCATTACTCTACACGATGCATATGCACGGCTCTTAATGATTTCTTTACTCTACACGATGCATATGCACGGCTCTTAATGATTTCATTACTCTACACGATGCATATGCACGGCTCTTAATGCTTTCATTACTCTACACGATGCATATGCACGGCTCTTAATGCTTTCATTACTCTACACGATGCATATGCACGGCTCTTAATGATTTCTTTACTTTACACGATGCATATGCACGGCTCTTAATGATTTCATTACTCTACACGATGCATATGCACGGCTCTTAATGATTTCTTTACTCTACACGATGCATATGCACGGCTCTTAATGCTTTCATTACTCTACACGATGCATATGTACGGCTCTTAATGATTTCTTTACTCTACACGATGCATATGCACGGCTCTTAATGATTTCTTTACTTTACACGGTGCATATGCACGGCTCTTAATGCTTTCATTACTTTACACGGTGCATATGCACGGCTCTTAATGCTTTCTTTACTTTACACGGTGCATATGCACGGCTCTTAATGATTTCTTTACTTTACACGATGCATATGCACGGCTCTTAATGATTTCTTTACTTTACACGGTGCATATGCACGGCTCTTAATGCTTTCATTACTTTACACGGTGCATATGCACGGCCCTTAATGATTTCTTTACTTTACACGGTGCATATGCACGGCTCTTAATGCTTAAGGACGATTATGTTTCTTAGCTCGGACAATTAGAATAAAATAAATGTAGCGCTGATTCCCAACTTTGCATGAGTGAGTTAGTCTGGTTTAACGCAGTTTTTTTAGTATTCCAGTCATATAATGGCGTGTCAGCTTGATGTGGGAGGAAAGCCAAAAGTGATGCTGACGTCTACCACTTTGGTGAAACTTACAAGTTCGGCTATGGTGCTTCAAAACCCAGAAACATAGTCAGGGAGAATCTGGATTTGAACCCACGATCATAGGAGTTTGGCACACCTACGTGTCGCAACTATTCACGGCGAATTCCTGTGCCACCAGTGCTTCCAAATGTCACATGAGTAGGGTGACCGCCAGTTCCACAAAGTTCGTAGAGTCGTGTGACTGCCTTTCCCAGAATAAGTCTTAATGCAGATTGCTTTGGATCGCTGTGTTCTGTCTTTTACTGATCAACATATTTTGGAAGGTATGCTTGACTGGAAACAACTATCAGTTTAAGACGGGTCGGTGCATATTTCAAGATGTTCTGGACGCGATCATGGCGCCACCAGTGGCTAGTACAAGTTATGTCGCTTGTATGTCCCACCTATTGACCAATCAGATTCCACCTCTCATATCACTTGCATTTACATCAAACAAAATTGCGGCGCACAGTCAAGTGGAACCGATCGATAATCAAAATCTATATTGTAATAAACGAGTCTTGCTTTTCAAAGTGTATCAAATCCTGTGAGGACCTTGATTGAAAACATGAACAGATTTACAAAATATCTGTTGAGGCCTTGTTGGCGGTACACATGATTTGTAAATCCTGCAATCGACCGAAATCTTGACGCCAGTTTACGAACCGGATGTCGATTTCGTTAAGTGACTTTGATTGGACTATGCATAGACTCGTTAGTCCAGCCAACATTTAACTACATAATTCCAGCCTAGTTCGGTGAGGGTTGAAACTGGACTTTTATAAACAGTTAACTCCCTTGCCTCGGGAAGATGGGAACAAGGTTTAGTTTCTGTATTGAATAGGGCACCTTCTCTTTGACTTATCGCGAGGCAAAACACTCAAGATAAGTTTGGTTTTTAGATTTAGGAAAGCATATGGTTTCGTGTTCGGTGTTTCGCGAGCAACTTGATTTGAATCGGGAAAAGATAAGCCGCTGGAAATGTAGGTAAGGTTATGTGAATTTTAATTAGATTCAAAAGAACGATACTTACCGTTTTCTATTGTTCCCTTCATCTTGGCAAAGACGTTGTATATTGTGACAGTTTGAAGGTGATTCTGGACATCGAGTTTCACTTTCCTGAAAATAAGCTTGAAGTGGTACAGAGGGTTATGAAGTTTTCATAAACTTACTTCAGCAACAAAAAGAAATCAGGAAGAATTCATCAAATGTTAAGTACCTCAAAGCTAGAAACTAGAATACGTTTTCCAATACACGGACAGTCTCAGGATAATGTGTATTACACAGACTTATGAAAGTCTCAGAATAACGTGCGTTTCCACCAAGTCTTTTGGTGATGATGTGTGACGTACTTACCTGCCATCCTTCATAGTCCCTCCAGGTATGTAGGTGATGTTGTGTAATACACTTACTTGCCATCCTTCTAAGCCCTCCAAGTCTGTAGGTGATGTTGAGTAATACACTTACTTGCCATCCTTCATAGTCCCTCCAAGTCTGTAGGCGGTGTTGAGTGATACACTTATTTGCCATCCTTCATAGTCCCGCCAAGTTTGTAGGTGATGTTGAGTGATACACTTACTTACCATCCTTCATAGTCCCTCCAGGTATGTAGGTGATGTTGAGTGATACACTTACTTGCCATCCTTCATAGTCCCGCCAAGTCTGTAGGTGATGTTGAGTGATACACTTACTTACCATCCTTCATAGTCCCTCCAGGTATGTAGGTGATGTTGAGTGATACACTTACTTGCCATCCTTCATAGTCCCGCCAAGTCTGTGGGTGATGTTGAGTGATACACTTACTTACCATCCTTCATAGTCCCTCCAGGTATGTAGGTGATGTTGAGTGATACACTTACTTGCCATCCTTCATAGTCCCGCCAAGTCTGTGGGCGATGTTGAGTAATACACTTACTTGCCATCCTTCATAGTCCCGCCAAGTCTGTAGGTGATGTTGAGTGATACACTTACTTGCCATCCTTCATAGTCCCCCCAGGTATGTAGGAGATGTTGAGTGATACACTTACTTGCCATCCTTCATAGTCCCGCCAAGTCTGTGGGTGATGTTGAGTAATACACTTACTTGCCATCCTTCATAGTCCCGCCAAGTCTGTAGGTGATGTTGAGTGATACACTTACTTGCCATCCTTCATAGTCCCTCCAGGTATGTAGGAGATGTTGTGTTATACACTTACTTACCATCCTTCATAGTCCCTCCAGGTATGTGGGTGATGTTGAGTAATACACTTACTTGCCATCCTTCATAGTCCCGCCAAGTCTGTAGGTGATGTTGAGTCCTCCCTGCCAGTCTGGCGGAGCTGTATCTCCCTCCATCTCCCTTTCAGACAGAAGACATAACAAATCATGTATCAGTTGCCACTTGCATCAGCTGTTCGAATTGCTTTACGTCCCTTGAATGTTTGTCGTATACAACAGGTGTTTGTTCTACATGAAGAGACAGGTGAAACTTGTACCTGAGCAGCATGTAGGCGTCGCTGTAGCCGATGGGGTGGCAGGGGATTTGGGGCAGCTTCATCTTCAGCTCCTCGTCATTCAGCCGTGCCGTGTACCCTGCGGGAGAGGTCGTTAAATCCTTAACCGAGACTCATGCAATTTGATTTCTTTGCAAAGAACCAGGTGCAAACGGTAGGTTTTCCAAGAACAAACCTTTGAAAAAGATGTGTTATCAGATTAACGAAAACCATGACATTCAATTTAAGCTTTTGATTGTTAGCTAACTTCATAAGAGACTATTTTTGCGTTCAGCTATCCCTCTCCTCAACAACTTCTCCTCAAATCCCTGACATATTAAAGACTATAAATTCGATAAATACTACTCAACATATGCTAAGGATCAAAACGTTGATACTGATTCATGGTTAATAGTGTGTAATGAAACAATGCTGCCCATCAATCACATACATGTATATTTCGAGAGATAGGCCTTTAAGAAAATTGACACCCCGACAGATATTTTTCAAATACTGTATTTTCATGTTTTTAATCAAGGTGCTCACGTGATTTGATGCACTTCGCGAGGTAAAATCCGTTATATTACAGTATTTTTCTTGATCATCGATCAGATCGTCGAGACTGGGAGCTGCCATTTTGTTTGAAATATATGCAAGTGATATGAGAGGTGGAATCTGATTGGTCAATAGGAAGGGCATAGCAGGGACATAACTCGTAATAGCCACTGGTGGGCGCTACGACCGAGCCCAGAAATTCCAGCCTAGTTTTCAAGGGTGGAAACTGGACGTTTAGAGTCACATGTCACAATGGCTAAAGGATCGGGTGGTCAGGCTCACTGACTTGGTAGATGCATGTCACACTGCAAACACGAACACATCGTTTTTTTCCGTATATGTTCATTGGACGGAAAAACGACTAAAAATTCATTAAAATTGATTAATTGGTGAGCGTCTAGAAAGTGTGCAGAAAAGGGTCGAGTTTTTCAAGCATAAAATGGACGGAAAAACGATGCTTTTTGCTCCGCCTTGTACACCTGTTAATGGCCAATCAGCTGGCGCTGGTCCCCCGACGCACGTGATTCCTAAGGCTTCCTTTCGAAAGCTTTAAGTTTCGTATTTCTGGCATGCCTTGCTCTAGTATCTGTCGCGAGCAGTGCAGCAAGATTTGCTGATAAGCCAGTTTTAGGATATGTAACATGTTAATGGAATTCAGGCACGCGCCAAGAAGTCAAACCAAACAATGTTACCAAGTTTATTGTGGTAACATATCCCTCGGCTATGAACAGTTACCCCTATCGAATAATGGGTTGTGTTTCATTTGGTTATAATAATAACTAATTTTTTAATGTGAAGTTTACAAGATATACGGCTAGGACGAGAGGTTGGTCACATGACGTTCTTCACGTGACTGTATTCTTGAAATGGCGTAAACACTGACTACTTCCACATTCCTGGGGAAAACCCTTGGAATTCCCTGGTACGAATTCATACAGAAGCGTGGTTGCATGCCCGTTTAAGGATACCCTCGCTACAACCCATCCCAGAGAAAAAACAAACGAAAAAAACATCCAAACTATCGTAGTGACAATCTACAGCAATCTATGAATTTACCTTAGTATCTATTTGACACATCTTTACAATCACCTTTCAACGATCGGCCAATTGATCAGTGATGACAAAGGCTTGAAATAGCCACAGGTTAATTAACAACTTCGGAAATATCTTCCGTCACGTTTATCGTGTCGGCCATTTTGACGTATTGTACTTGATGTAGATGTATTACGACGCTCTGTCATTGTAATTGACTTACTGAGGTAATTCTCATCTAATGAGGATATTGTTTGGAATATATTTTTTGTAAACATACTAAAACACGGGGGGGGGGGGGGGGGGGGGGGGGGGGGGGGACTATTTTATTCCGGGATGGCCTATTAAAGTTAGCAGTAAGTCAAGGCACCATGCGTGTATATGATCTGTTATTATATGTGTTTAAATTACGGTTTGGGGCGTTAATAAAATACACTGACGCACTATTCAAATCAATTGGATAATTGAATATGCTTTCTTTTACATATTACATAACAGCACTGCACAACATTTGAACAGTTGCAGTAACACACTACGGTAATCGCATTAAACACCATTTTCAACTGTACAGTATTTCAGTATTTCAGTTATATCACGGTGTACAGACTGATGTGGGATAAAAATCCGAATTGGTTCAGGCCATCCAACGTGTGTTCGGGAAAAGGTGAGCGTATCCTGCTACACAAGTGGCACCCGTCACAAACACATGCAGGGACAAGTCAACTGTTCACCTGCACAAAGCACGGAAACACACAGTGATGCCCGTCCTCACTTTTACCGAGCATGTAAATTATATTGTCCGTCAAAAACATGGACGAGTATAAACAATATGTTCATTCACGTAATACATGTCAACATTTGACAAAATGTATTGACTCGGAGCATTATTGTTAATCACAGCGTATAGACTCGGCATGCAGTTGAACTCATCACCCATCCCATTATTGATAATCCTTCTTGAAGATCTATGAAATCAGAAGCTGCAACACTTTATCTTTTAATTGGCATGTCAGACTTCTATTTCATAACTCAGTTTTATTTGCACGGATCACGAAAGGGACATTGTCGCGTTGTCGCATTGTCGCATTGACGCCCTTACAAAAACTAGCAAAACGTGTCAAAATTAACAAAAGCGCGACAATTGGCCATTTGTCGCATTGTCGCGTGTTTGCATTATCGCTCTTTGAATAATCCTTTTCTTTATTTTACAAAAGGGCGACGATGCCGTAACGCGACATTTTCAAGGTCAAAATATGTCTCGTCGCATTGTCGCCCCATCACAAATGTGTATAAAAGGCGTAAAGTTTAGTTAATGTTACAGTTAGGAAGCGGTAGCCAAGTTACATCTGTCGTAGAAGTTCAGCCTTTATACATGTAAGTCTTGAAATGAAAACACAAGTCCGTCCGCGAGTCCATAACGTTTTATTGTGAGCTCTTCTCTAAAAGTGCTTAGTGTTCGACTTCCAGTTCCAAACACGTAGTACCTCATCAACAATCCACATACCTCTAGTGGAGTGGTCTTCCGGAAGATCTTACTCTTGACCGCATTAGACAACTGACGAGTGCACGCCTGACCTGTGACCTCGTTGCAACCCTCATGAGGTGTTTGCCGAAGGGGGAGGGGTAGGAAATGTGTGCTCCAGCCCAGCGCAGAGCTCGCGACACACTGTATACTGAATGTTGTATACAGTATATTGCAGTTATACTGCATGTGATACTTATAAGCGGAAATGTTACAACTTTCAAGATTCAAGATTCAATTTGCATTTATTTCATATACAACAGACCGCCGTCATATATCACTGGAATACTGCTGAGAGCGGCGTTAAAACAATTTGTTTTCATAATGGAGCGCTGCAGTCATATAAAATAGAACCGTAAACATATGTAGTACAAACTCACTCACTCTGTTTCGAATAATCAGCAGAAAATATATTATTAACCAGGTCTTTGGGAAGAGATATCAGATTTTTATAAGCAGTGACATAGGGATGATAACGGACCCCTCGCTGATTAGGTTCTTGTTTACTTAAGAGCAGAGTTGGCCATGTTAGATGATATAACCAAAATCCAGGAGCTCCGGCGGGGGGCAGTCTGGTCTTGTTAGTGTATGGTATGAGCTGTTGCGTTGACCCAAGAGAATAATGTAAAAAATGAGACCAACTCAAATCTATAACGATTGGGAAAGTCTAGATTTCCACAGCCCTAGCCTGAAATTAAGAATGGGTCTAGGCTCCATTTTAATTGTATTATGTTCATTTTGTAGACATGGATGGACCAACCAGGAGAGAAATTGATGGAATATTAATATCACATGTTACCACTGATCCAGTTAAATTCATCACACAATAATATATTAGTATTTGACATTACGGCATTTGATTATTAGGGCATGATCATGTACATGTTCACTGTAGTAATGTACACACCAGTCAACCTGATTATAATTTTTATTATAGTGTAGCGCGGCATCAACGATTACTTTATGATATCCTCACTTGTCATCGGTGTATTGACATCGAACAATGGACGAAAATTCGAAATTCTTATAAATAGCTTCAATAGGGACAGCGCCGGTGTCAGTACAATTTTCCTAGTTAAAAATATGTCTCTACAAAATATAATCTGAAGCAGACAAGAACAATATTTTTTTTATTAATGCTTACTTTCATGGATAGAATTGAGGCAATCTAGGCTTGCCAAATCGTTCTAGACTTGAGCTGGATTCCTTTTAAATTTATTTTCTATGGTCTGGGAGACGAACGGGCGTCAGTATCGCATGGAGAGCTGGGAAAGCCTGAATCAGTGTAATCGGATATGTTGTGGAGTTTCGGTTTGGGGCTGTTTGCTGAATAGAACAAGGGCTAACGAACAAGGGCACAATGTAGAGATTAAATCATTACCACCTCTCTTTATATCAGATATGTTATTGTGATTTGAAATCTCTTTTGGATAATTGCGAGTTATGTATACTCTGTATTCTTTCGTCATGGTAGCATATATTTTCTATGTTGCTTTTTGAATTATCCACAAATAATGATAACTACAATGTAAACCTCTCATTGGATATATACAATAATACTACTGAAGGGCATATCTGAAAAATGGGACTTATCGACAAATATTTCTTTCTTAAATACTACCCGCTACAGGCATTCTGATCATTATATTATACTTTGTACAGTTTAAAAGTCAAATAATGGCAAATTGTGTATCTTTCTACATTTTGAATTAATTATAATTTCTGCAATAAAACCTTAGCATCAGATAGTGATATAAACGAATATGATCTATACTGTGATAAATGAATTATCAATTTCGTATTATGAATTAGATAAACAGAAATATGATAGTAAAACAAATTATTTTAATCTGTTCGTGTGAGTAGGTAACGAGAGATCTAGGCAACTCATTAACGTAGCCATTTGTGAAAAATGAAATATTAAAGGTTTAGGGGTTTGAACATGTGCATTAAATGACAGGGAAGAAAGCAACGCAATAATTAAATTATGA